TCTAGTTAGTCTACGAATTTTACAGTTAGGTATTGGTATTTGGCGCTCGTCATTCTGGAGTACAGCTGCGTGGAATAATAAATAGACATCACTCAATATTTCAGTTGCTAAATTTTTTCAATTTTTTAATTCTTAAATTTATTTTCTCAATTTTCGTATTTATTTGTTTTCGAATTTTCTAACTTTGCAAATTTTTAATTTTCTCATTTTCTGACTCTCAAATTTTTCGATTTTCCACTTTTGTAAAGTTGTAAATTTTCTACTTTGCAAACTTGCACACCCTCGTTTAAAAATTTCTAAATTGTCATACTTTTAATTTCACAAACTTCTATTTATCGCATGTTCAACTTTCAGATTTCCCCCTTTGCAACTTTTTAATTTTCAAACTTCCAAACTTTCTCGTTTGCAACTTCGAACCTATAAAAAATAAAACCAAACCAAAATAAAAATCGAACCCATAAAAATAAATTACTTGGAAAAGTAAGAGTTGCCTACAGTACAATTCGAATGAAAAAATATCAACTGTACAAGGTATAGTAATGGGTGCAAACGAAAATTCTGCGAAGCCAATTAGGAAAATCATTGCTGCCAACAAGCAAGAAACCGTAATGCAATTACGGCCTAGCTACCAGTTGTGCTTAGTCGGTAAGGTGTTAGGAATTCACGGTGATAAATCTCAATCACTAGTTCCTCGTCGATAAGATTCTTGGCTGTAGAAAGGAAGGTTACGGCTGTAATCCCCATTCGTCTAGGTCTAGATCGTATCGCTTCCCCAAGGGAACGACAGTTAACCCTTTCTCTGCGAATGACGGATACATACGACCACGAACAATTATCTATTACGGCTGTCAATTCGGTTGAATTAATATCGAATCACAATAGAACTTAAGCTTCTTTGCATATTTATGGTATTAATAAATGAATATTAAATGAAAGTTTGGTACATCATGGTATTAATGTTCACTTTTAAAGTTTAGTTATAGCACGTTTGTCTAACAAGTTTGGTTTAACAACGTTTAGGGGTTTTTAGTGTAACAGCAATATTTAACGATGATGATTGAAATGTTTTAATTTAGAAATTTAATGATACAATAAATATCTTGTAACTACTGTATAGGACATACTAAACATTTACATACGCACTAAATAATAAAAATTATAGCAATGAAATCATAGGGTTGCTTTGAAAGTTTTGAGAATTGACAATCTATCAATCAAATTACTTTAGGAAGAAACAGTACATAATTGTTAATTTAATATTATTAAAACCTAAAACCTTTAGTAAAGACAATAACTCTCAGTTGAAAGATTAATGACCCAAGTTCATTCAACTTCTCTAACAGCGACAAAAATCAAATAAATTTTAACAAGAAAAATTATTAATATTAACAAAATTTATTCTTGATCATTCCAAAAAGTAATAAAACCTCAAATTTTTCAAGAAATTATTAAACAAGGTTCTTAATCTTCATATTACTATTTACTTAACAGAAAAATTGCTAACAGATCTTCAGTCAATTTCTCCAAGTGACAAAAATTGAATAAACCTAAAAAGTTGTCAGTATTAACACAAAATTATTTGTGAACATCCCAAAAAGTAGAAAACTTCAAATTTTTCAAGAAATAACAAAAAAAGAAGGTACCTAATCCTCACTAATAAAAGTTACTAACAAAAATTAGTAATAAAAGAAAAATTACTAATAAAAGTTTCATGCAACCTCTCCAAAAGAAACAGTGACTCGACCATGACGCTTTCATCGTGACTTACGTAAAACGCGGTAAATAACGTTTCCTAAGGCCGATAAATTTCATTGTGTCCGTTAACCGAGCGTAATTGCACCCTGGCAGCAACACCCTGACATTTCGCAGACCGCATCGGCGACCACCGATGGCGGTTTACCCGATCTCTACAGCCAATTTACGTTCTCTCCCTCCTGATTTGTTGAGGGATGCGGTTTTAATCCGTGCCACGGCCACGTTGACGATAAAACGCGAGGCGAGCTGACGTGTTAGGACGAAAACGCGAGCAACGAGGCAAGGCCCTTTTTTTGGACATGTCGTCAAGATGATATCATCGCTTCTTACGCGTGTGCCTAATGCAAAACGGTTTTGCGGTTTTTCAGGCACGTCCGTTATTCTTTCGTGTTCGTCACACGCGCCGCTTGAATCCCAATAGAAACGAAGAACGAAGAGGGGAGGATCAGGGGAGGGGAATCCCTGGATTTTTTTCATTTCGCAAGACCTCCCCGATGAGACTGCATCGGTTTGCAGGCGTCGTCTTATTGCGTTTACACGAATGCCTGGTTTATGATGCATTGCGTATTGCGAGCTTCTCTTTAGTCACCTTGGATACCGGATGCTGGTTGCACCTTTTTCTTTGTAAAGAAATACGCAAAGATTTGTTACTTAAAAATAAATTCATAGGGTAAAAACTTTGGAGTCCACATTTATCTATTTTTGGGTTTACGCCATTTCGGAATTTCACGAGTCTGTTATGACACTTCAAAAGTTTTTTCAATTAATCTTAATTTTATCCACAAACTAGGTTTGCAAAAATTCGCAAAATTCTGGAGCATCAAACTGAATTATACAATAGACGTTAAAAACTTTGTTCAATAAAGAGAATTCAGAGAAAAGTTGGCGTGTTTAATGCACGACCCAGATTGCTCAAGGGTTAAGTTATTCAGAAACTAAATAAAATTGGATTGTAATTAAATTATGTTTGCGTTAAAGTTTCAGTATTGCTCATATCGGGAGTCGATATTAAACATGTGTATACTAACCATGTAAATGATGCAAGCTATCAAATTGCACGATAAAATTAAATAGTTATATGTAGCCTCAATTTTCACCGCCTCAGTAACGATTTTCAACTTAATAATTAATTTAATAAATCTTGCAATGAATTCTGTCGGATGTTGAAAGAATTCTAAAGCTTGGTATTAATCCGAGGTTGGTGAAAATGGTCTATCGGTATCCATGGTGAGAGTAAATTGAGCAATGGGACATCGTGGCGTCTTTCTAGGCCGTTGCTAGGGAAGTCCAACACGGTGTCGTGGTTAGGGGTTGCAAGTTAAGTAGGAACAGAACCAGCGTGCAGTGGTTAGCCATTAACCTAGATTTACAGGTCATTCGCTCCTTAATCGCACTTTTTCTTGAAAAATAACACCGTTCGTTCGTTTCCAGTCCTAATAACTATTGATGCCTTTTTGAACGATTTTTAATATATTTTAGATGTCTTCTTTATGGCCATTTTTGTGCATGGACGTTGCACTTTTGATGTCCTCGAATACTATTGTTATGGGTTTACGATTGCAGTAATAACAACACAACTTTATCTAAAATAAAGTAGACTGATTTATCTATTTGTTAATAGAATTATGCAAGTTGCATTAAAAGTAAAAAAATGTATATATGCAAGCTCTTCAATCTAGATTTTTTTAAATTGTGATTAATGCAGGTATCATAGGATTGCAATAATAACAACACAACTTTATCTAAAATAAAGTAGACTGATTTATCTATTTGTTAATAGAATTATACAAGTTGCATTAAAAGTAAAAAAATTTATACAGGCAAACTCTTCAATCTAGAGTTTTTTAAATTGTGATTAAATACAGATATCATATGATTGCAATAATGACAACACAACTTTATCTACAATAAAGTAGACTGATTTGTCTAATTGTTAATAGAATTATACAAGTTGCATTAAAAATTAAAAAATTTTATATATGCAAACTCTTCGATCTAGATGTTTTTTAAATTGTGATTAAATACATGTATCATATGATTGCAATAATGACAACACAACTTTCTCTAAAATAAAGTAGACCGATTTATCTATTTGTTAATAGAATTATACAAGTTGCATTAAAAGTAAAAAAATTTATACATGCAAACTCTTCAAACTAGATTTTTTCCAAATTGTGATTAAATACATATCATATGCCCACAAAAATTTTTCAGCACAAACGCACAAAAACTCATCGCTAAAACCCAGCTTAAACCGAATAAAACTCCATGCAAAAATGTCCAGTTCCCGGTTTCAAGCGTCAAATTAAAGCTTATCAAAGAGCATTCGCGATGTCCTAAATCTGAGGGAAATTCGTGAACAACCCTCGAATCAGGCATACTATTCAGAAGGGCCGTAATAAAAGGGACAAGTAAGATCACGAGAAACGACAAGGTAGCGAATGAAAGTGGGTCGGATCGTGATTTAGCTCATCGACAAGAATTGTTCGTAACGATATCTAAGAGATCCAACGACACGTTCGAATTAAAGGTATATGCAAGAACGCCACGTTCCATTTCGTCCTTAATAAGGGTGTGGTGAGCCGAACCTCAAGTATAGCCGTTCAACGATAAAGTCCAGCGTGTCTGAAGAAAACGGGGTAAACTGGGTGTAGACACGCAGTCAGGGGTGTGGACCTGTTATTTCGTTCGCTCTATCAGCCGCTTTTCCCTTGCTTTTAACGATGCACTAACGATACTCGCGTCGAGCACGTGAAGTGGGAAATCATTGTTGGAAACAGTGGTACGGGGACGGGTATTATTAGAAAACGTTGTGCTGAACGCTGCTCTGAACGTATGTCGTGCACTAGAAATCCAGTTTTATGTACCTCTTTCGATCATTGTTAAAGATCCAACTAGTTACCAGAGGAAACTAAGAAAAATTCACAAAAATGTTTGGTAGGATGTCTTATCCTGTTCAAAAATAATTTTCGAATAAAATTATGAATAAATAAATTTAAATAAAATTTTCAAATTTTATATTTTCCCTCTTTCACATTATCAATTCAAATGTTCATAAAAATTCAAATTCACTGTATTTGTATTTTTCTACAATTCTCTTTCACATTATGACTAATGTGTGAACGAAGTGTGAGAAAGCTGAGACTTGCTAACGAAAGGCCAACATTTCGAGAGGTCTCAAACGTGACTACCAATCTGGCTGCACCTTTTACGGTTGCTAATTGAATTCAATTCTTTTGTTGCAGCTTGGTGCAAACCTGCGAAATCCTCCGATAGCGTGGATTACAGCGACGATGATCCAGCGGACTACAACGATGACGACACCGTAGATGACGACGACGATGGCAGTGATTCTGAAGTACCTCCTCAAATCATGTCCAGGCCGGAAAGCATACGTGTCAGGAACGGTAGCACGATCTGGTTACCTTGTAACACTAAAAATGCAGGTAAGGATTCTTCAAATTTAGTAATTTTACTGAATGTTCCTTTTGTCGACTTCAATGATCTTATGGGTCCATCTTATGTACATATACAAGACTGTATATTATACGACATAATGTGTACTATTTATTATGCTATAAATAGTATAATTTATCATTTATAATATAATAGTATAATATAATCTGTATGTATACATTACATAAATTTACAATATACTGCCATTCTACTATTTCATTTGACAAAAACCTATGTAAAATTGTTCATGACACTTCAAGGACTTTTCAATGACCTCAAACTTCCTTTACAATAACTATTAATAATAATCGAATATATTTACACAGACAATTACACGGTGACATGGCAGAAGGGCGACGAATTTCTGTACTACGATTCGAACCCAATGACATCAGACAAAAACAGGATCGTCCGTCTATCAAATAACACACTGGTGATCTACAACGCCACAACCAACGACACGTCGAACGATTACAAGTGCACTATCCTCCACACGCATCCCGTCACGATCAGACATCAGGTCCTAGTGGAATCTGGAAGAATGCCGGCACCCCAGCCTCACAGACCTCCGATACGAGTCACCCCTGGCAGAAAAGTGGAAGTCACTGCTGGTGAAAACATTACCCTGGGCTGCGAAACGAGGATACAACCTACGCCTGTAATGAGATGGTACCACGAGGTATGGAAACGCCTTCGTTATATTTTTTCACTCTCGTTATGTCGCCTCGACTACCATAACTGCTATCTCGTTCGTTAGTACTTTTATTTTGTATCTTGCTCTCTGTGCTTGGAGAGCTGTTAATTAACGCTGACTTTCATGCTTTTGTGGGTTGAGACACGTTTTGAACAATGGGAACTTTTCTGCACTTGTCAACTGTTATGTATCATATGAATTTTTATTTTGTCAAGACATATACAAAATGGTAATTTTGTGTATGTTAGTAGATTCTTGAAAATTTACAAATTTATAAATTTATAAATCTTCCAAAGTTTCATTGATTTTTTTTTGTCAAGACATATACAAAATTTTTCTATATGTTAATAGAATTTTGGAAATTTCAAAAGTTCTAAATTTATAAAATCTTCCAAAGTTTCATTGATTTTTCTTTTGTCAAGATATATACAAAATTTTTCTACATGTTAATATACATAGTTTTGGAAATTTCAAAAGTCCCAAATTTATAAAATCTCCAAAGTTATAAAATCTTCCAAAGTTTCATTGATTTTTATTTTGTTAAGACATATACAAAATTTTTCTATATATTAATAGAGTTTTGGAAATTTCAAAAGTTCTAAATGTATAAAATCTCCAAAGTCATAAAACCTTCCAAAGTTTCATTGCTCAAAAGTATCGAACTCCAAAGTTCCAAACTATTAAAAGAGTGAACACATTTAATCAAATAATATTTTTTCTGTAATAGTCCGAGAGGGTTCCAAACGACCTGATCACCGACAGCAATCATATCACTATCACGAACATCAGCAGACAGAACGGAGGCCATTATCAATGTCTCGCCGACAACGGCTCGAATGATCCACCTGTGGAGTCTATCAACGTTGTCGTTAACTGTAAGAAACTCGGTGAACATACCTAAACCCCTCGGCGACCTACTATTCTATATTTAAAAGCGTTGCCTCACCGTGTAAATCAAACATTTAAAAAAGTATATTTGTTTTCGTAGACATTCCCGAAATAGAGACAAAAGGGAAATGGGTGCATACCGGGCTCGGCGTTGAATCGAAGTTAGCGTGTATCGTTCACGCTCATCCTCACGCTAAGGTGACATGGTTGAAGGATCAGAAAGAAGTGATGCAGAAGAAGGGCAGCATAGAGATGACGAAAAATAAAAACTCGCACGTATTGAATATTTTCCACACAGAAAAGGAGGACTTGGGCGACTACACGTGCGTGGCTGAAAACGCGTTAGGACGGAGCCAGAAAACTATTTCCCTCACTGGTAATTTTATTTCCAGTCCCCATGTTAGTTCCCATTTATATGGGGACTAGAATCTAGGTTATTGGGACAGGTCACGAGTACCATTTGTACAAATGTTATAAAAGAGTGTATAACTTGTACTAACTTATTTACACTAGTGGCACAGACCATTTTAATAGAACAATTTTTGGCATTTTTTATATAAATCTGTATTTACACCAAATGGGGTTATTTTGGGTTACAATAGGGTTATTTTGCGGATGATTGTTTTCTTGAATTTTTTTAGTTAGAAATTAAACCTTTGCGCTCAAGAGGCGCCTCTTAGGCGCCATTCGATTTAATACAATAATTTAAAAGAAGCATTATTTAATTAATTCTATAACAGTGCTTATGTGATGTATAAACATAGTGAAATAGACAATAGTGGAAATTATTAGTAGAGAAATAATAACTTCAAAAGAAGTCATTTAACATTTTAATTAATATTTTAAAGTTGCTGTTTACAAACAGTAAAATTATCTTCGAGTGCAAAGGGTTAATAGCTAAATTTAGATATACATGTGATATGTAGCATGTGTGTATACACGTGTGTATCTTACAATACGTACTTGAGACCTTACAAATAAATTTTGGATTCAAGAAAGTAATTTTTTGAGATCACTTGATTAATTTAGATTGTTTTCCAGGTCTTCCATCTCGAGCAATTATTTTGGGAGGTGAAAGGACGAAGAGTGATACGGGATTGATTCTAAAATGGCAACTGGAGAGCTATTCGCCGATTACCGAATATACTGTAATTTCAAACTTTGTTATTTATATAACACGTGAATTGTTAATACCTCACTTTAGGTATCTAACTGTTAATGCCTAGTTGCTATAGTTGGCCCAGTTGAATAATTCACTATTGTTAACTGTTACTAATTTTAATAGTTAATCTTATCTATTAATACTTAACTTTAGTAGTTAGAGTTATCACTTAGTCAAAGTTGAAATGAATCACTTAATAATTTAGACGGAAGTAATAATCTATTTTATCAAGATCATTGTAGTAAATTTATTAATAATTTAGCTATTTAGCAATAGAATAACAAAATGTGTTAATTAAATTTCAGCTGGAATATCGTCGTAAAGGCGAAGAAAAATGGACTGTTCTCAAGCCTGCAGTGACAAACGGTAAAGGGAATATGTTCATAGTTGAACACCCGATCGAAGGACTTCAGTCGGGATCGTACGAAGCGATCCTTACGGCTAGAAACGATTTCGGATGGTCCCCAGCGTCCAAACCCCATATGTTCAGTGGAGGTACGATAACAAATACGATGAAACTAATTTAATATTAATCTGACAATTTCAAAAATAAAATCTGACCTTCCATTACATTATTATCCCTCCAGAGACCCTCCATTATATAATTAATAAATTCATTATAGAAATTTATTCATTTATTATTCATTTAGATTCATTCATTATTCATTTAGAAGAACTATTATAAAAATAATAAAGCTCATTCAAGTTTCTTCTCCATTTTGTTACAGAATACGCAGACGAACAGGCAGAACAGGGTAAGTGATTCACAATAAAACAATTTGTAGATAAATTGCAATTTTAATAATTGTTGATTAATTTTTAGTTAAAGGAACTGCATCTCACTTTGCGATAAACTTTGCAACGTTATTCCTAGTCGTCTCAACCTGTGCCTTCACAAGTCTGTAATTTACTTGAACTTCTTAAACTATGTAGGTACGTGCACCATATAAATAATTATAACTTATTCCAAGAACTGTTGTGAATAAAATATATTTTTATTTATAGGTAATTTGCTACAGCCAAAGCGTACACCAGCAGAAGCCATGGTGGGTTTAGTGAAAGATGAATATCTAGGAGAACTATACGTTGCTGGTGTAATATATTTTTTAAAATAATGTATTAGTTATAATCGTTTAAGGTCATAAGCTGGTTTTCATTCGTTGGTGATACGAAAAATCATATTACCATTTATGTATATATTGAGTAACAAGTATGAGTACATTTTTTTTTAAATCTTTGAATTCAAAATTATTCGTGGGCATTCATAAGTTAAAACAAAAGTGGTTTTAACTGTAATTCAATATAATTCTTCTCCTAGATGTTCTGATATGTATTATTAAAAGAAAAGAGCATTTTAATTGTACTCTAAATCAGGAGTAATTGTAAGGGATACTGTACTTTAAAATATATTTATATATCTATATATATATATATTATATACATACGTATACATAATATAGTATTCATTGTATATGTAATAAGTTCAGAGATACATGATTATTATTATAATTTATTTTTGTATGCTTAAGATTATTAGATCAGTGTTCTATAAAGTTGCTTAGTGCCATGTACGCAAATTTATTTTCTCACGATCGTGTACAAATGAAATAACGGCACTGGTGAACCGTCCTTCGATTGCTAATGGAGGACATGTAGGTACCTAATGTGTAATAGTAAAGAAATAATGTTACTAAGGCTCGCCGTTACGATTTATGTAGTAAAGCGACTAAAATGCATCGATCGGAAGCAAATATACTGTGAAATTAAAGAAGCAAATATACTGTGAAAGAAATTGATCAACGATTCTTTTTGAAGTGGAACTCCGAGCTGCAATTCAGCGCGGGAAATTTGAAAATTTTCAAGTTTCTGTGTTTCAAACTGAAATCCTTAACTTGTCGAAATCGTACATTTGCAGATTTCCAATTTATTAAATTACCAAATCTTTGAATTCCTAAGTTCTTAAATCTTACAAATTCTCAGGTTTATAATGCTTAAATTTTCAGTTTCTCAAATTTGAAAATCCTTTATTTAACAGTCCATAAAATTCTCAAATTCCCAAATCTCTAAATGTGCAAATCCCTAAAATTCCAAACTCTCAAATTCCCCGAATTCCTTAAATCTTCTGATATATGAAATCACAAATTATCAGATCTGCAAATTCCTAAAATCCCTAATTGTCAAATTTCCAAATCCTTAAATTTCCAAATCTCTAAAATCCTCAAATCTCTAAATGTGCAAATCTCTAAAATCCCAAATTCTCAAATCCTCAAATCTTGAAGTTTCCAAATCCCTAAAATCCCAAATTCTCAAATCCTCAAATCCTCAAATCCTCAAATCCTCAAATCCTCAAATCCTCAAATCCTCAAATCTTTAAATCTTTAAATCTTTAAATCTCCAAATCTCTGAAATCCCAAATTCTCCAATCTGCAAATCTCTAAAATCCCAAATTCTCAAATCTCCATATCTCTAAAATCCCAAATTCTCAAATCCCCAAATCTCTAAAATCCTAAATTCTCAAATCCCCAAATCTTGAAATTTCCAAATCCCTAAAATCCCAAATTCTCAAATCCCCAAATCTTTAAATCTCCTAATCTCTAAAATCCCAAAATCCATAAATCTCCAAATCTCTAAAATCCCAAAATCTCAAACCTCCAAATCCCTAAAATCCCTAAATTCTCAAATCCCCAAATCCTTTAATCTCCATATCCCTAAAATCCTTAAAATCCCTAAAATCCCTAAAATCCCTGAAATCCCAAAATTCTCAAATCCCCAAATCTCAGATCTCTAAATCCTCGAATTCCTCCCCAAATACAAAAGATTTGATTCGTAACACAATTATAGTACGTATAATTGCTTTCGATCACTATAACTATAATATTTTCATTCAAATTCGATGTAGAATGATATGCGTGGATACGAATGACTGTCAAGAGCGTAAGAGAGTGATAGATGTTTTCCAAAATAGCTTAGTAGCTTTAGTACAGACATGTCGTTACACAATCACTTGTAAGAATCGTTACAATCAATAGAATTAACAAATAAACGTGTTGTACAAAAAGAAAAACCGTCGATTACAAGAAATATAGGGCTACGCAATTCTGTAAACGTTAATTATAGAAACTTCAGTCACGCTTACTACGACGCTCTGTACATGATACCTTTAATTTTGTATAGCGTTCGTTGCATTTATTCGATTAACAAATAAATCCGTTGCATAATTTTAGACACTTATCGAACACCTTCTCGAAACACAATTTCTCGCTATCTACTGAATCTAAAATAATTATTGCAGAAATATATTCAATGTTGAAAAGATTGTACATGTTTTAAACACCCTACTTGCAACATGATGTAGAAGTAAAATGGAAAAATATTTTACAATAAATATGTTGTTGTTTATTCATCTATTTATGCCTCTAGGAAGGAAATCTGTTCTATTCTTATTTTTTGAGTTTTTACTCAAATTTAATTTTGCTGAGGAATTTAATAACTATTACATCTCTTCATAAATTCATCTATTTATGCCTCTAGGAAGGAAATCTGTTCTATTCTTATTTTTTGAGTTTTTACTCAAATTTAATTGTGCTGAGGAATTTAATAACTATTACATCTCTTCATAAATTCTAAAAATTTTCCTTCTAGTCAAATTTACATACTTAATTAAAATAGTATAGGAATTTAATTCGTGCAATAGTTGTAAATAACAGTAGTTACTTCTAAGCTAATTAGTTTTTAAAATCTCGTTTGTGCGCGCTCTCTCTGCAAACGGTACCATTATTAGGGGGTCCTGCCCTTAATAGCAACCACCGGTGTACAGAGGCACCAATCAGAAAGAAAATTGCGTTTTTCTATAAAATCAGTGACTTCTGCGTTTTCTGAGACGAGTAAGATATTCTACTAGATATTTAATGAAAGGAAAATAATTTATGAGAAATTCGGTGACCCGAAGAACAATTTGTTGCCATTCTTATGTCATTCCCTACATCATCGACAAGATAATGTGCGAATTGTTCTGAACGCATAATCCACATCGTCCGACTCATGGAACATATATTCCCGACAGCATAAAATCAATATTAATAAACATACAATAAATATATGGCATATTAATCAATAGAGTCATTAGTAATTTAATTTTTACGAAAATGGAACAAGTGGCGCCATCTTTCCAGCGAACAGGCTTAACTACACACTTTTGAAACTGTAGTTTAATTAATTCCCATTTTTACCGCTAGATGGCGACACGTACGACAGAAATGTGGTGATCATGAGAGTCGTCGTCGATCAAGAAGAATTTCATTTTCAAGCCATCGATAAAGAAGATTTCTATTTGTATTTGACATTCAATTTTATTGTTCAATTGTATATTTAAAAAGAAAAACGTTCGCTATTCATTCTATAATCAAATCAAAATTCAGCAACACGCATTTCAAAATCAATATCAATAAATCAGTTATTTTTGAAGTTATAATCTATTAATTAATTTTAAATATAGAGACACATTCTCTATAGAAACCCTTAGATTAAGTAGAATGACCCGAGGAACAGTTACAATCGATAATGAATTGGCGTCCATTTAGCAGCGAAACGGGTGAACTAAACCTAAAAAATGACGGTCCGCACACGCATGTAAGGAAAATAAACAAATAAATATTTCGGCACTTTGGCGACGTAGTATGGTTCCTGAGGCATTTAGAAACAAATTTCTATTAGGGTTTGATGCGTTTTGATGCCTAATAAAGCCAGAAAAACAATTTTTGTGGAATTCGGTCCAAAAAAAATCAATTTTTGTCGAATTCGGTCCAAAACGGTACAGGTGGCGCCATCTAGCGGCGAGCGGCGGAACTACAAAAAGTTAAAATTTCGATTTTCTCCGAAATTAGGCAATTTTACGTATTTCTGAGGGTCAGAAATTGTTCTGTGACCTCTGTGGAATCTATATAGTGCCACAAGAAGCTCCTCAGTGCGCTAGAAAAGAAAATAGAAAAATAGTCCAAACATGGACTAAAAAATTGGCGTCCATCTAGCGGTGAAAGTTCGAACTACAAAAATTAAAATTTCGATTTTCTCGAAAATTAGGGAACTTTGAGTATTTCTGAGGCTCAGAAAGCATTATGTGATCGCATTGGAAGCAGTATAATGCAATAAAAGCTTCCTAAAGGCTTTAATAAAGAAAATAAAAAAAATGTCATTTTATGGAGAAAATTTGTGGCGCCATCTAGCGGCGAAACTGCGAACTAAACTGAAAAAACGTATGCCGGTACACGCGTTATGGAAAAATACAAGAAATAATATTTCGCAACTTTGACGACGTAGTGTGCTTCTTTAGATATTTTAAAGCACTTTTTGATGCATAAGTTATTCATTGTTTTGCCTATTAAGCCCAGAAAGTCAATTTTTATTTGACCACTTTACTGCGTGTTCGAACATACGTTTTTTCAGTTTAGTTCGCTATTTCACCGCTAGATGGCGCCACAAATTTTCTTCATAAAATGACATTATTTTAATTTTTTTTATTAAAGCCTTTAGGAAGCTTTTATTGCTTTATTTTGCTTCTAATGCGATCACATAACACTTTCTGAGTCTCAGAAGTACTCAAAGTTCCCTCATTTCCGAGAAAATCGAAATTTTAGTTTTTTGTAGTTCCAACTTTCACCGCTAGATGGACGCCAATTTTTTAGTCCATGTTTTGGACTATTTTTCTATTTTCTTTTCTAGCGCTCTGAGGAGGTTCTTGTCGCAGCATACAGGTTCTAGAAAGGTCACAGAACAATTTCTGACCCTCAGAAATACTTAAAATTGCCTAATTTTGGAGAAAATCGAAATTTTAGTTTTTCGTAGTTCCGCCGCTCGCCGCTAGATGGCGCCACCTGTACCGTTTTGGACCGAATTCAACAAAAATTGATTTTCGGGCTTTATTAGGCATCAAAACGCATCAAACCCTAATAGAAATTTGTTTCTAAATGCCTCAGGAACCATACTACGTCGCCAAAGTGCCGAAATATTGCACTTAGCATGCGCAGTAGAATTAACACAGATGGCTCATGTACGTATCGCAATGTTCACACAAAATAATTAATTAATCGTTACTGAACATTATTTATGAACTTTTATGATCGAACCATGTAAATAATGCAGTGCTGACCATTTTTCAATCATAAAAGTACACAAAATATATCCACAAAACGTGTAATTAATTATTAAAAATGACCTCGTGTATACCACTTGTCACCGTGGCTGGCCTTAGGTTATTAGTTAATAACTAATTAATTTCATTAAAAATCTAAACAAATATGATACGAGAAAGTAGCTGAGGAATCACTGCACATTCTTTCATAATAAAAGTACATAAATTGTATTTAGAAAATGTGTTATTAATTATTTCAAATTAGCTCATGCGTACGATGTATTTCGCCATGTTGGATATTAATTAATAACTAATTATTTACTTAATTATATATTAGCAAGTACAAAAAAAAAGTAAAGTAAGAAATTCCTTTCCAGATTTAGTTCCATTTAGTTCTTATGTTCTATCGCTAGATGGCTAAGCTTTTTTAAGTCCATTGTGTTGCAATATGATAAATCAATTTGTAAAGCGTTAGTTTGTTCTATTCTTAATATTTGAATTACATTATTGTAACAATATTATTATATCTGTCTTATAGGCATATCTTAAGGCTCAAAGTGTTGTAAATAAAAAAAAATTCATTTTTCCTTTTCATTTTTAATAAAAGTCTTAGAGCGTTTTGTAGAGCTTTTTTCCTTATATTGTCGTAATTGCAAAACAATTTATAAGTACTGATAAAATATACAAATATCTTACCTTGTGAAAAACTGCAATTTTGTGTTCTGGTAGTTCTGCCCTTCATCGTCATGCGGTGCCACCGGTACTGTTTTTTACTGCACATATTAAAATTAAAGAAATAAGAATAAAACTTATAAAGTATCACTAAATTAATGAATTAATATCTTTACATTAATATAATTTTTAGTCTCACTATAATTCAAATAAAACAGGTATACAAGCTTTAATACCTTATCGATGCAGGTGCAATATCTGTAGAACATTTGTATCTACTGCCGTATCGTAAATAACAATGTCGGTAAAATATAACCTTGATTTATGCGTATGTATTCTATATTTCAGCGTGTAATGCTCGATACTATAAAGTACAACGTATGATTTCTATTTTCAGATATTCCTATTAGAAATTTTCGAATACTTAAATATTTAAATTGCAAATCTTCGAATTTCAAATTTTCGAACACTACAATATTCATGTCCCAATGAATTCAATATGAATCTATGTAAGAGATCATATTATATTTGATAAATAATTCAAAGTTTAGAAGTTTTGGTAATTGAAGGCATGCACTATTTATTTATAAATTATACTAAAATACTAATGAATGCAATCAAAATCAAAACAACAATAGAAAATAAAATATAATAAGTTTAAGTTAAAAGTACAATAAAAAGTAATAAAGATATTAAGAAGTAATGTTATAAATATGTATTATATCCAAAAATTAATTTTTATCAAAATATTACATAATATTATCCGCTTACATTTTCAATGGATTAACGACGTAAAATGGCATCAGACTCTTGCACCGCGTCTCGAAATCGTGTATAAACGTTCACAAAACAAGGATCTTTATTACGGTACCTCTCGTTTGAAAAGATAAAGAAATTTACAAGGCCCAGTATTTATAGCCCCACTTGAAACCTAATATGGTACGCACGTGCCTTGCTTTACAGCGAAGTAAAGTGGGCCCTCGAGTGTTTGTTATCCTTCCTTCGAACCGTGTCATTGTATCGGCGATGACACCGGATCAACGATTGGTCCACCCGTGTAGAAACACTGCAAATATTCCAACGAATTCTGTGCGTTTGTGGGGGAAGGGGGAGGAAGAAGGGAACGAAAAAAGGCTGGAAGGATCAACTTAGTCGACACAGTACGTTTGCAGTTTTCGTGGAGGTTGACACGCGTCGCAACAGTATGGATATCGTGCAAAAGATTTGCGCCAGGTCGACCGAGAACGTCGCCGTCGAGTATCAGTTGACGATCAGATTGTTAGAGATGTTGCAGAGAACGAAGTACGAATTAGTGCAAGAAAACGGACAACGTCGTTTGACCGCGCCGGAAATCGTTCGCGGCGAAAAGCAACGCGTAAAAGGTGCGGAGATCTTTCTCGGTCGTCTTCCGCGCGATTGTTACGAGGACGAATTAATGCCGATGCTCGAGAAGGTTGGACGTTTGATGGAATTAAGGTTGATGCTCGATTTTTCTGGCTCGACACGCGGTTACGCGTTCGCATTGTTCGAAGATTCGAAAACTGCGAGAAACGCGTGCGCAAAACTCGACGGTTACGAAGTCAGACCCGGCCATCGTATCGGTGTCGTCAAATCCGTTGACAATTGCCGGCTCTTTTTCGGTGGAGTGCCGAAAAACAAAAGCAAAGAGGAATTCATGACGGAACTCAATAAGATACTTGAAGGCATCACAGACATTTATCTATACCCCAGCGCACACGACAAGTCGTTGAACCGCGGTTTCATCTTCGTCGAATTCAAAGATCACAGGGCCGCCGCAATGGCTAGACGAAAATTGATACCTGGAAGAGTTATGTTGTGGGACCATGAAATTGCGGTCGACTGGGCAGATCCTGAACCTGGAGATCCTATCGATGAGGATGTCATGGAGAACGTAAGTTCTAGACTATTGCCATTTTGGATTTTTATTAACTTTAGAAGTTTTAATCTTTGCAATCTTTTTATGGAAATCCATTAAGACATTAATCTTTCATAACATTTTATATATTTTTCTAAATATTATATTACATTAAAGTATATAAATATTGCGCTGTTCAATTTTTATTTATATAAAATTATTAACGTTTGATGTACAACTTATTATAATCTATTTTTATTAAAATTCATATCAATTGCACAATAATAAAGTCAGCAATACCTTACTAGATTAACGATAATTTTTGGATGTCTCCACGATAGAATTCGAGCGGCTTTGAATTAAAATGCAAACGAAATGATTTAATTGGCAATTTATTTAACGTTCGAACGATGCAATCGGGTCAACTGTGACCCAGACATATAAAATATATACATTATCCCCATCGTATTTTCGCTATGGTTAGATACATTGAAAATTTTAAATGAAATGGCTAAGTTGTATCGAAATATAAAATTTAACGGCTTGTATAAAACGTGAACATTTCGATACTGGGCCAATTAGAACACGAAGCTACGAAATTATTCAATAGTATTTCAATTAAAATTATAACTTTTAATAAAAATATTTTGTATATTGGGAAATAGAATCTAAACGAACAGCGTGGAAATTAGGAAATGAAATTTAAATTGTCACCATATTAATTGCCGAGGGCTAAACTATTTTTTAACAAAGTTCCAAATTAAAATATTTCAAAATATGTATTTCCAGCGTTTTACAATGAACACATTTTTTCGCGACTATTTTCTCACGAAACTATTTTTTCGCGATTTGTAAGAGAGCAAATCGAAAGTTATTTACTATTTATAATTGTTCTCAGGTAACCGCTCTTTTCGTGCGAAATTTAAGCTTGGACGTGCAGCAGCAAAAAATTCGAGAAATATTTCAGAAGAGCACAAAAATACCAATACTAAAGTTGAAAAAAATTAATCATTTCGCGTTCATACATTATGAAAGCCGACAAGCAGCGCAGGCCGTAATGGACATTATGACGAGTACGTATATTATAATATTTCTCTTAGTCATTTGATTGTTGGACTGTCATATACATTTATTAACGAATAAAAATAAATAAAATTAGAACCCAATGGCGTCGCCGAAAAGGAAGGCTGGGAAATACGTTGGGCGAAGCCGATTGGAGCGACAAAAATTTTGGAGAGGCAACGATGCATCAACGAAGCGGTGGCAAAGTCGAATCAGCAAAAAACGACTCAAAACACGCGGGGTAAACGCGTATTAGCAAAAAAAAACAACGCTAAAACTAATTTGGATTGCAATGATAACGAGGTCGTCGACGTGACAGCAATGTACATGGATGCTTTGCATAACTTCGTTAAAGCGAAGTTCAATGCTTCGTGTTCTTTTAACTGCTTTCCTGTAGCTGGCACGCCGGGTTTCGCGTGCAAGGTAAATTACTTCACCAATTCCATTTACAAGAAAACTTCAAGAATTCTATGCATCTTCATTTGCAAATTATTATATCATTGTGCAATTGTAATTTAATTTATTTTCATTCTAAATTTAAGAAGATGAAGGTCAGAAATTTTTAGCTCTGTTTTTATCTTCATTTTATATTCGCTTCTTGCTACATGATATTCATCTTCCATACTCATGGTTTATTTATACTTGTTTGTTCAGGTGACTATTTTTCAAGAGAACTGTGTTTTATTCGAATATCACGGAGAGTTAATGCCAACTAAACAGAATGCAATAATTGCTTCGTGTACGAAAATGTACCAGTTCGTTGCCACGAAATTCCATACTTGCGGTAAGTTTAACAATAAGAGATAGTATTTTCTAACCCTCGTCAAACGGATCGAAATCCTGCGTTCAGATCCGTGTGGAAACCGATGAATGTAATTTGATACGTGGTCTGTTTTGACGAGCACAATGCCAGGCCGTTCCTCTCAATCAGATGAATTCTTTCACTTCTATTATTCTGGAAATTTCCAGCGCGGTATGCCCATTCCAACGGTTTTATGTTATAACTTGTTTAAAAAGCAAATCACGGATTTTGTCTTAATGAAGGAACTTCTTTCATGGATCGTTTCTATTTGGACGGCGAAATACGTCAAACTATATTTTTGAATCCTTTTGCATTTCATGTTTTGTAGTCTCACATGTTTAGTAGATAGAAAATATCAAAATATAATAAAAGAGAGTAGTAAAAATAATTTTATTTTATAATAAAGTTAAATATATATAACTTATATTTATTTTTCTTGCAGTGTTGCAGAACAATGAACAATATTACATGCAACAGAAATTAGGAATTAACCCTGCAGTCGGATCACCAATCAACGACTGGAACAACATAGAACAGAACTGAATATAGATAATTTTTTAAGGCGAATATTTTAATGCGACGAATGAAAAGACTATTCATAATTATTTATAACGTAGAGATCCGATAGCATGAGAAAAGGAACATAGAGAAAAGAAACTTAAATTCATAATAAAATAAGAATGAGATTTTATTTTTACATTTACCGCTGACGATCTTAACCGAATTTTAGAAACGAATGATCCGAATTTTATACTTTAAATAATTGAGATCAAATACGTTTTTATTAATCATAAACTTGGATGAAATGTCGTGCAATATTTTACGGAATGGAATTGAAAAGAGTTTTTATGAAAAATAGACGGCAATGCAAATTCTATCTTTTAAGTTTTCAAAGTTTTTGAAAAATAAATGGATTGAGAATGAAATTGAGAAAATCTGATGATCACAGGTTCTCTACGTTAAACAATGTACTTTAAACATTCTTATTAACAATCTTAATGTGATTATAATATAGTTTTTATATAAAGTATACACTATTTACCATCAATTACCGCGAGTGAAGCGTAATCAATCAAAGATTAATATAGTTTTCAATCATTGTCAATTGAATCTCAAGTTGCGCTTAGAAGATAAATATCTCCTTTTTTGTTTATGTTTATAGTATATATATAAATTATATAAGAAACACGTTATGTTTAGTAATTTATGATTGTTTTACAAGAGTATAGTTTACGTAAAAGTTAAAATAAATTATCATATTCAATCATTTAATGCCTGAACTCGTGAAGTGTAATCTTTAGATGTAAGAATCAGATTTAAGTATTAAATTAAAATTAGATATAAAACAGAATGTTTTGTACCAAAAATAAATGTTTATTTTCGTATTTTTCTAGCAATAAACTGTTTCAGTTATAAATTATGACTCTTATTAAAAGTTTAACACCAATTCCACGAACCTCGCAATCTATTCCCCGATTTCACCATCGTAGGGTTAATAACGATCTTTTAGAAGTAACATTATTCGATCCTCTGAAGTTAACTTATAATCGGAAAGGGTGCGATTATCCTCCAAATAATAACCTTGATTCCAAAGTTTCATTCTCTCCGGCTTCCACGTTTCGTTATTTCTTTCGCATAATAGTTTCGAAAGCTTTAGCTTTAGATACCCAATTGTCTCAGAATAAGACATTCGTAATTTTACACGTGGACCATCGAGCCTGTATATCGTTACAATTCGTTCACAATTACATTTCATTTTTATAACAAATTAATCTTTCATGACGTATTTCATTCTCAATAAATGTATACTATTTTCAACAATTTTATCATCCTGTTAGCTACAATTTTACAACCATATATTTTTATTTTAATTTTCCATTTATCTTATCTAAATTTCATTAGGGTTAGAATATACAGAAAACAATCTTTTATTTTTTTAATTTTAGAAATAACTTCTCAACACATACAGTGATTCACAAATTTATTATATTTACACAATCTGATATTAAAATAATTATCTTTCATTAGTATAATGATACTTTATACTATATCTAAGGATTATAATAATTATAATCATAGTAAATATGTATATATTAAAGTTCAGAGAAATATATGAATAAATAGTTACATATTTAATCCTTGAATACTGAATCAACTTTTTGAAGTTGAGTTTTAATCATGTCTGTTTCGAAAACCTTTACGAATTAATGAATATGTGTCAACGAAAGTGAACGTCTTTGAAATAATTATTTGGTCGGTGGGGAAAATCGAGCCAACGATCTTGACATTGGTTTCAAGATCATCGTGTAATCCTCGAGCACTCTCCTCACAGATTCGTTATCCGTATTTCCGGTAGAATTCTTTGGTCTCATACAACGAACCAACTGTCGTGCTTTCATAGTGCATTCGACATTTTGATGTGTCGCCGGAGTAGAAAATATTTGCAGCGCGAAGTCGAGCAGTTTTCCAACGGCACAATCGAGAATAGTGTCTTTCGGTATTTCACCCTGGCCGCTTTCCGAGCAATCTTTGATGACGGCGCTCATCCACCCCCAATCCTCCCAGTCCTCGTTGTATCTTACGTGCTGATTTTCCAATTGCCATGTCAGATGAGCACGGTATCTATGAATTATAAGAAAGAATATTCTAAGGAAGAGGAAAGAAATTTTATTTTTCAGAGTGTTTATATTATTAATTACTTGGATATTCGTCAGCCTCAAATTTCCAAAGACCTTCAAATTTTTTAATACCAAAATTTTCAAATCCCTTATATTCTCAAAACCATTATGTCTCAAATCACAAAACTATTAAAACCTTGAACTCTTAAATTCCAAAATTTTTAAACCTCCAAATTTTCAACCCTCAAATTCTAAAATTCTAAATTTCCAAATTCAGACCTTCAAATTCTTTAATTCTAGAATTTTCAAACCCTTAAATTCTTCAACCCTTTATGCCCAAAAACACAAAATTATCAAATCTCTAAATTTTTAAATTCCAAAATTTTTAAACCTCTAAATTTTCAACCCTCAAATTCTAAAATTCTAAATTTCTAAATTCAGACCTTCAAATTCTTTAATTCTAGAATTTTCAACCCCCTAAATTCTTCAACCCTTTATGCCTAAAATCACAAAATTATCAAACCCTCAATTTTTAAATCCCTGAATTCTGAAACCTCTAAATTTTCAACCCCGAAATTCTAAAATTCTAAAATTCTAAAATTCTTAAATACTTAAACCCCTAATTTCTGACAAACCCAAATCCTAAAACTCCTAAATTCTCAACCCCCCAATTTCCAACTTCCCAAATTAAATTTCTAAACATCCAATTTTCAAGACCTCCAAATTTTTTCTAAATTTAAAATATTCAATTAAAAAATGCCTAAACCTTTAAATACAAACAACCCTTAATAATAACCTTATTATACTCTCCCCCTTATTACACTCTCGACGAATGTTGAAGAAAGCAAATTTAAGGGTGGTTCGTAAAGAACTTCCCCAACGAAAAAAACGTCATTTCTCATGTTTCCCGCAATTCGTCCAAAGTTGTGGAAGAAAAAGGAAATCGAGCGATACTTACCCCCAACTGAGCGGATTCTTTTCAAACTTCACATTTTTAAGGCTTTTTAGGTAGGCGAACATACTGTATTCGATAAATTTGATTTGGTTGTAATCGAAATAGAAGTTCTCCAAATTGGGAAGTAATTGGAACACTCCATAATCGATCCATTCGATGTTGTTGAATGATAGATCGAGAGTTTTCAAATTGTACGTGTTCACGAACCAATCTCTTGGTACAGATCTCAATCGGTTACCCCATAGTATTAATTTCTGGAGGTTGGTGAGTCCTATGAATGCTAGGGAATCTATCGCTTCTATATTCGATTTATGTAAATCCAGTGTGATTAGTGTTGCACCGAATCTTGCGAAAGCATGACTGCGAACATAAATATTACATTTTTAGATCTTTTTCTTTTTTAATTTCGAAAATTGAGGTAGATGAAAATTGTGAAGTATTAATAATTCTTTGGGATGGAAATAGAGAGATTATGGGGCTAGTAGTTTTGTTGTAGTTTATTCTTTCTGTGGTAGGTATTGTATTTTTTATTGGGAAACGGTGAATGATTAATTGTTAATTGATTTTTATGAAACTTGGAGGACTGATTGGAAATTTTTTTAATCTACAATTTTTGGATATCATTAAATTCTCAAGTCGACAAATTCTCAAATTACCAATTTGTCAATTCCCAAAATTCTCAAACTCTGAAATAAGCAAATTCTGAAATCGTGAATTTTTCAATTCTGAAAATTTTGAAATTTCGATTGTCCAAATCTCAAAATTCTCAAATATTAATTTCTCAAATCCTAAATTCTCAAATTCCAATTTCCCAAATTTCAAAATTCAAAACCCCAAATTTAAAAATCTTTAATTTACTACATCACAAAAGTCTAAAATTCTCAAATTGCCAAATTCTAATTTTTCGAGCCCCAAATTCACAAATTTCTACTTTCTCAAATCCCAAAATTCTGAAATTCCAATTTCTCAAATTTCCAATTTCCCAAATTCCAAATTCTCAAATTCCAATTTCTCAAGCCCCAAATTCTGAAATCTCCAATTTCTGAAATCCCAATATTCTCAAATTCCAATTTCTCAAATTTCTAATTTCCCAAATTCCAAAATTCTCAGGTCCAAATTCCTCAAACCCCAAATTCTGAAATCTCTAATTTCTCAAATCCCAATATTCTCAAATTCCAATTTCTCAAATTTCCAATTTTCCAAATTCCAAAATTCTCAGGTCCAAATTCCTCAAACCCCAAATTCTGAAATCTCCATTTTCTCAAATCCCAATATTCTCAAATTCCAAAATTCTCAAGTCCAAATTTCTCAAACCCTAACTTCTGAAATTTCTCATTTCTCAAATCCCCAATTTCTCAAATTTCGACTTTCCTAAATTCCAACATTCTCAAATTCCAATTTCTCAAGTTCCAAATTCTGAAATCTCCACTTTTTCAAATCCTAAATTCCCAAATACCAAAATTCTCAATTTCCAATTTCTCAAACCCCAAATTCCAAAATCCGCAATTTACTCGACCCAAAAATCTCAAATTTCAAAATTCTCAATTCAATTTTTTCAACCCCCAAATTCTAATACCCCAAAATTCTCAAACCCCAAATTCCAAAATCCCAAAATTCACTCCACCCAAAAATCTCAACCCCCCAATTCAAAAATCCCCAATTTACTCCACCCAAAAATCTCAAGTCCCAAAATCCTCAAATTCCCAAATTCTCTCACCAAAATAATCTCTCCTCTTATAAACCATATCACATTCCATAATACTACTTTCCTCTTACCCATGTAGATACGCCACATTCGACTCTGAAATTTCAATGTGCGTAGTGTTGCCCCTCGCCCTGTCCAATTTACTCAAATCCGTTAACTCTGTACACTGGAACCTCACAGAGTTAGCACGTTTGTTGATAATAGTTCGACAATTGTTCGATGCGGTCGTGACACTTGCCAATAAATTGAACACGAAAAACGCTACTAACAGATACATCATGATTCACGTCGAACAAAGAGCAGCGTCGAGAACGAGCATTTAATAACTGAACGCTCTTCTGATAGCTCGTGTGATGCGCAACTGAATCGCGTGGGTGGCGTATCCTTCGTTTCTTGTTACGTTTTCCTCTTTCGATAAGAAATCGGATTGCGTCGATTGAAAAAAAATCTCTTCTTTTCTCCTCATTTATTTTGTATTTTACATTCAGATCAATAATTTCTTAAACAAATGAAAATGTTAAGCAAACTTTTTTTGTAGTCATATTTTCATACTCGTATTTTGTTTGCATACAAATAATTCTTTAAACGGATATTAAACGTTTAGTAAAAATTGTTTCATTTATCGACGCTTTTAAATATTTGTATTTTTCGCTTATGCAAGTTAATTCACTTCATATTAAATTACTTCATAAATTTATATTAAAAGCAATATAAAATTATTTTGTTTATCGTTGCTTTTATAACTTCGCGTTTTATGTTTACGCAAAACGTCATTAATCAAAGTGGAGTATATTAAAAAATATCAGAGATAATTTATGATATAAATGGAATACTGCAAAGGTAAATCAAAATGTAATTGTTTATTAAAAATGTTTGAAGTTGTATTTGACCTTGAAACGAAAAAGCTTTAGGTTTTGTTCTTTAAATGTTCTATTCTAAAGAATTTGTTCTATTCTTTAGAAGACTCATTTCTTCCTCTTCTTATTTTCTCTTTCGAAAAACATATTTGTTCCACAGAGAATATTTAGAATATAATAAATTCTTTAGAATAGAACAAATATTCTCTAGAGAACAAATATGTTTTTCGAAAGAGAAAATTAGGAAAGGAGATAGAAGTGAGTATAGAAATTTGAAAAGTAGTGAAAACGATAGAAAGTTCGCAAGTGTGAAGTCTGGACGCCAAATGTGCGAGTTGACGATGACCAGACACGCTCGGAGCCTTGGAGAAGAATATACAGAAAGGAATGAGAGTGTAACTGCAAAGTTCCATAAAAGAGAAATTCGGGAATGAATTCGTGAAATCGGTAGGCACGTGGAAGCAATAGCTTAATTGCTACGATGCTGTGTACTGTGAAGTGTAATTTATTTCTTTATAGTAGGCAAATTTGTTGTTTGGAGGGAAGTAAAAGGGAAGCTGAGGATTGGGGGTGTAGGAATTTGGGGAGTTGAGAATTTAAGAAGTTGATAATTTTGGGGAATTTGAGAATTTGGCAAAAACTGAATTTAGGGATTTGTGAAATTGGACAATGGAGAATTTGGGGATTTATGAAATTGGACAATGGAGAATTTGGCAAACTGGGAATTTGGGAGGTTGAGAATTTGGAAAATTAAGAATTTGGGGAGTTGAGAATTTGGGGAATTGAGAATCTGGCAAATTGAGAATTTCGAAAATTGAGAATTTGGAGAAGTTGAGAATTTGGCAAAGTGAGAATTTGGAGAGTTGAGAATTTGGTGAATTGAGTATTTGTAGAATTGAGAATTTGGGGAGTTGAGAATTTGGAGAGTGGAGAATTTGGGAAATTGAGAATTTGGAGAGCGGAGAACTTGGGGAGTTGAGAATTTGGAGAGTGGAGAATTTGGGAAGTTAAAAATTTGGCAAATTGAGAATTTCGAAAATTAAGAATTTGGGGAAATTGAGAATTTGACAAAGTGAGAATTTGTAGAATTGAGAATTTGGTGAATTGAGTATTTGGAGAATTGAGAATTTGGGGAGTTGAGAATTTGGAGAGTGGAGAACTTGGGGAGTTGAGAATTTGGGGAGTTGAGAATTTGAGAAATTGGGAATTTGAAAAATTGAGAATTTGAGCAATTGAAAATTTGATATATTGATAATTTGATGAATTCAGAATCAGAGGAATTGGAAACTTGGACAATGGAAAATTTGAGAAATTATGAATTTAAGCAACTGAGAATTTATGAAATTGAAAATTTGTGAATTTCTGAATATAAGAATTTGAGATTTCTAAAAATTGCAAATTCAAAAAATAGGTAATGAATACCTATAATTCTAAAAATGTACAAACATCTAATTTAAAAATAACAAAAGCCAACAACAAAAAGCATTATGGTAAAAACAACATTTATTGTCGTAGATTATATACACGAATACACAACCGAGACGTTAACATCGATAAATAATACATCCAAGTATGTTATCGACAACGTTTGACGAGAGTCGATGATCGACCGTGTAAAATGGCTGCGCCAAAAATCAACAACAAATCAATATATCCGCATTTGCTTCATAAGTTTGTCTCAACATGCACCCGCACTAAATAACTCACAATAGTGTCCGCTCAGTTCTTCCGAAAATAATTGTACACCCGTTGATGTACCCATAAATCATTACTGATCATTATGGGACTCGGTAGATTCGGCTAACGATGACGGTTTATCAGGGCAATCGGTGATCAATATTGCTGTTCCACCGATCGATCGTATACAGCTATAGTTATTGTCATAGAAACCGTTCGTTATTTACACCATAGAATGATACATCGATGCGTTTGATGTCGCACACCTATATAGTCTTTTCAAAGATGTCCTTTGACCATCTTCTTGCATGAAGTCGCTATCTAACAAGGATAACTCCTCGAGTGTCCTCCTCGAACTTTAATGAGCTTTCGTATGCTGATTGATCGTGCTATTACGAATCCTTTTGTACAGGGTGACAGGAAAATTAGGGATCAAAACATATTTTAAGGGCTAATTAGTGGTTACATGAACATAGGTCTCATTTTGTATAAACTTTGTTATAGAAAGTTTAAACTATACCAACATTGTGCATTGTGTTCTGTTTCTGAGTCTTTTTGGAGGGCTTTGGGACCTATGTTAGACCCTTATTAATCAAATCGGTGAATGTACGTTTAATATCTTTGACTCCCTTTTAATCCTTCTTCGGATATGACTTTTATTACTGAGTTCAAATAAATTACAACTGGGACTTCTAGAATGGGGTGCTAGGAACTTCAGGTCTTTAGGACGGTGCAGTTTAAGGATTTTTGCGACCTATGGAATTTTATAATTTTGCAGTAACTATTCAAGGTCAGTTGAGACTTGGGCCTCCAAAATTTTTAGATTTTTAAATTATGAAATGTAGAATATCATTTTGTAATTTTACAAATTTGAATGAGAACTTTAAGGTTCTTAGAACCTTGACAATTTTTTAACTTCGCTATTTTGTGTCTTTTTTTAAATTTGTTAATTTTATGAGCTTCATTCTGTAACATTGAAATTGTATGTTTTTTAAATGTTAGGACTGCAACTTTAAGCTATGTCTGAGACATTGCAATTTCATCAGTCTGTGGCTTTAGACTATAACACTATTTGTTTCACGGGTACATGGCAGTACAACAAGGATCCAACATAACGTATTTAGTTCAAAACTTTGAAACGCTGTCGTAGTCGCCATAATCCGAAGAAGGATTAGACACCCTGTACATCTCCAGCCCGAACGCAAAGAACGGTTGACCGTAATCTAAATGAAACTCTAATTCTTCAAAACTTCATCTCAACATAAAGATAACTGTACAGACGGTATAAAAGTCAGCGTTAACGTACGAGAACATGGTGTGAACGCAAGAATAACCGTTTGTAAGGTAGTTCGTTGGTACGTAAGAGTAGGCAGAGTACACGCGATAGGAGCTTCCGTTTATCCTACAGGAAAAAAAGGTGATTTGTACTCTTCCGTACATACGAAACGGTGAACTTTACGAGCTACAGATCACTATCACTATGAAAGCGAGCATTAATCCTACGCAGTTTAATCGCGAGTGTCGCGACGATGTCACGCTGTTCTGAACATTCAGTTGGGTCGGTGCGAAATTCGCTGGCGCAGGTGCGGGTGCCGGATATGATGAAACTTTCGATTTTTTCGCGTTGCTGTCCGTCAAAGCGTTCGAACTGTTCCTCCTGAGCATAGGCGTTGTGTGACCCATATTTCCACTATTTTTCGACAACGAACCAGTTCCTTCTCGCCCGAACGAATGCAGCTTCCCTTTTCTGTCGCTCTGCTTTTTCGTCCCGTGTTTGCCCGTGAATTCCGTGTTGCGCAGAGGCACCGACGTCGTCCTCGTTAAATGTAACTCTGCAATCATTTCGTCATATACGTATTCTAATCTGCTCAAAATTAGACCCTCATTCTTCTATGTCAAAATTCTTCAAATTATTTTATGTGGTCTTTGAAGAAAGAGCTACATCTTGAGAGTACATATATCCTCTGTATAAGGGTATAGGTTAAGTAGGATATATGTGAGGGTGAGGGTATATGATACCACCCAGTGAGGGTACATATACTCAGAAGAACAGAGGAACTCACAATAATTTTTTCTAAGTTATTTAGAATTACATGAATTTTTATGAAGGAGGTGCAAGAGTACATTGAAGAAAGTGATACACCTTAGTCTTCAATTTTCTAGCCAGCTCACAACTAAATTACTGTTACAATGTTAAAACAAAGGTTCATTTTGCAGTAAATTTTTGATAATGCAAATTATAGTATATAAATTTTATCTTGAAGAGTCATTAAAGAGGTAACTCTTTGCAATTGAACAGTGCAACCATTCAAGATAAACATTTTTAAATCAAATGTATAATGTAATACATGTGATTTATGGATATTTTGTGAAACAGAAAAGATATAGACATTGTGAAAAGATATAGATATACACAGTATGTCGGGAAAATAACGGATCTTTTAAAATAAAAAGAAAAGAATTATTTTGTCAAAATTAATTTTTTTTATGCAAAAAACACTGATACACTGATACAGTATCAGTAAACGCTATAAATACAATTCATTGCTCAATTTGTTGTTTTGTAGGAGAGGTATGTTTTCAGATAACACGTTTTAATAGATGGCGCTAGTTTTCCTTAAATTTAAACAATTCCGTTACTTTTCCGACATATTGTGTAGAGTTGGATGCAAAATTCATTGCAGTAAAAATACAAGTTTGTCACATTCGATAAGGGTATATTGAGAACAGAGTTAAGTTACCTTGAAGCCTTATCGTCCCGTCAGCCTTGCCAAGTAGATTTTCCGCGGAACACGTGTAGCTCCCAAAGTCGTCCCTGTTCAATCTCCTGATGGTCAGATTTAACTGATACGCGTAGTCGTTCAACGTAACCTCCGACAGATCGTGTTTCTCATCCGGCAATAATTTTATACCTGCAACGTCCAGAGGAATATCGTGGCGCAAGGAACAGTTTACGTTACGTTACACGTAGGGCAATCATTATAGCGAAATGGAGCCGCGACACTGAGAAATAACCCTTGCGATTCGATATTACTCGCCTGATCCTTACCGTCGTCCCTGTACCATGTGTTCAGCGCTTTCGGCGACGACTCGACGTAACAATGAAGAACGACGTCGCTGTTAGCCGGGGCCGCAACTAATTGGTTCGAGACTTTAATCAGCGGTTTAACTGCACCGAGAAAACTATTATTAATTATGTAAGTTTGCTCGAAAAGGTCCGGGAGTGACTCCGCCACTTACAACGGACGTTCGCGTAATATCGTTTGCTGACTGTCGGTGGAACGCCGTTGGACGCGATGCAAAGGTACGAACCCATCTCCTGGCGTAGAATACCCTTCAAATGAAGCTGTTCCCCCTCGTACGATTTCACTGTATCAAAGAATTCGGTATTGCTCTTGAATCGAGTGGCAACGAGTAGATGGGTATGGTTGTGGACTTATTTTGGCGCGAGTGGATTTGTCAGAGAACTGGAAATGTGGGGAGAGGTTCTTGAGATTGGAAGGTGAGGGTTTGTCATAAAAGTTTTGAGAGCTTTTCTTAGTTTGCGAATATTTTCAGTTTAGAAACTTGAGAGTTTGATGATTTAGAAATTGGAGGATTTAGGAAATCAAAAGCTTGGGACTTCAATTTTGTAATCTGGGAATTTGAGAATTCGGAAATTTAGGAATTTGATAATTTTGAGATTTAGAAATTTGGGAATTTGGGAATTTGGGAACTTGAGAATTTCAGAATTTGGGAATTTGCGAATTTGGGAATTTGGGAATTTTGGGAATTTTGGGAATTTTGGGAATTTAGGAAATTTGGGAATTTGGGAATTTCAGAATTTGGGAATTTGGGAATTTTGAATTTGGGAACTTGAGAATTTCAGAATTTGGGAATTTGGGAATTTGGGAATTTGGGAATTTTGGAATTTGGGAATTTGGGAATTTAAGAAATTTGGGAATTTGGGAATTTCAAAATTTGGGAATTTGGAAATTTGGAAATTGGGAAATTTGGGAATTTAGGAAATTTGGGAATTTGGAAATTTGGGAATTTTGGGAATTTAGGAAATTTGAAATTGGAGGATTTAGGAAATCAAAAGCTTGGGACTTCAATTTTGTAATCTGGGAATTTGAGAATTCGGAAATTTAGGAATTTGATAATTTTGAGATTTAGAAATTTGGGAATTTGGAAATTTGGGAATTTGGGAATTTTGGGAATTTTGGGAATTTCAGAATTTGGGAATTTGGGAATTTGAGAATTTGGGAATTTGGGAATTTGGGAATTTGGGAATTTGAGAATCCCGAAAAAAAAGGAATTTGAATATTTGAAACTCTGAAAATTATTGAATCTCGAAACTGAAGTATTTGGAAATCAAAACTTTGGGGATTAAAGAATCAGGGAATGTGACGATTTGTAAATTTGTAAATTACAAAATTTTAAATTTGAGAACTCAGTGTAGTGTAAATAACCTCCATACAACAAATACGTAATAATTAATTCTAGATAATACACAATACTTTTATAGACAATATAATATGTCTACATAAAGTATGTAATTATACCTAAAATCAAATAATGCATTTCGACAATCTATTGAGGCTAATAAGACAGAATTGGTGCATTGTACGGAACATCATCTGAGAGCTGTAATTACAGCCAAACTCGAGCTGCGTAGCTTCATATTAATTATATCGTAATTGTGTTTTTGTTAAACTTAATATCATTGTTCTAGTACTTTGCCGAGCTGTAATATGTTTATGGACCTAGTAAGATCTTTGTAAATGGAATGTATGTTCCTCAATTTCAGTTACGCTAGCGTAACAATGTTTCATTGTTTGTAAGTTGTACAATAGTTCTCTGTTAATGCACGGAGATGTTGATATATTTAAGGAAATTTAATATCGGAGGTTATTTGAGGTAATACAAGTATAATATTTGTGTTTGTTATATTAAAAAGTGTATTTTTAAATTTTTAGATATTTAGGTTTATAGATTTTTTTATTGCTAGATTTCTAGATTCCTAGATTCCTAGATTTCCACATCCCTAGATCTATCGATTCCTAAATTCCCACATTTCTAAATTGCTAAATTTCGAAATTCCTGAATTTCTATATTTCTGGATTCTTAGATTTCAAAATTAATACATTCCAAAATCCCTAGATTCTTAGATCCCTAAATCCCTAAATCCCTAGTTCTCTACATCCCTAGATCCCTAGATCCCTAGATATCTAAATTTCTAAATTCCCACATTTCTAAATTTCTAAATTTCTAAATTCCCAAATTTCCAAATTCCTAAATTCCTAAATTCCTAAATTTCTAAATTTCTAAATTCCTGAATTTCTATGTTTCTAGCTTCTTAGATTGCAAAATCCCTAGATTCTTAGATCCCTGAATCCTTAGATCACTAGATCCCTAGATCCCTAGGTCCCTAGATCCCTAGATCCCTAGGTTCCTAGATCCCTAGATCCCTAAATCTCTAAATCTCTAAATCTCTAAATCTCTAAATTCCTAAATTCCCACATTTCCAAATTTCCGAATTTCTAAATTTCTAAATTCCTGAATTCCTATATTTCTAGCTGCTTAGATTCCAAAATCCCTAGATTCTTAGATCCCTAAATCCCTAGATCCCTTGATTCCTAGCTTCCTAGACCTCTAAAGTTCTAGATTCCTATATTTCTAGATCCACATACCACTAATTCCTCACATGTCCACATTCCTTATTCCTACATACTTATATATCCTTACATCTACTATATATCCCCATATATTCCTATATATCCCTACTGGTAATACTCCGTGTATCTCCAAATTCCTATAGTCCTAACCTCCTCTAGCCCCTAATTTCCAACCCCTAAATCCGAATACTCATAAATACCCATTAACCCCAGCACCCATAATCAATTTATCAGCTCAAATTAAAAAATATTTGGCTGTATAAAATTCCGAGAACAATACATCAGAAATTAACAATGAGAGGCTAATTCTCGAGCATATAGGTTTTACTACATTTCTATTCTGCTTCACCGTTTCGTCCTTTTTTTTTTTAATTCTCGCATCGATTTCATTTCATACCGGCACGTATTCCATTTTAATATACGCGTTTCGGCCAGAATTTGGAGCAAACGTCACGGTAAATGACAGGAAACGAATGCGATTCATTAAGGAGCCAGGAAACAACGGGCGTAGCTCGGTGTGGTGTGTTTTAGGGAAAGATATACATTTTAGGGCAGAATCACTGGCACGATATAGATTCTGAGTGGTAGACACTTTCGCGGTGCAGTGTACACAGTGAATATTGCAATCGGGTATGCGAATCGATGGGGTCGGCGAAGAGGAAATATATGTAAAGTCAACATCCATCACTCACTGTTAGAAAGGCTAATCGGCTGGCTGATTTTCCACGGAACGCGATGGACCCAGCCGGATCACGCTCTCGCGTTCTCCTACGTTCAACAAAAGCCTCCGCCATTTTACCAAACTTTCGGACGTTATTTTCTTAATGATTTAAAAAACTTCCCTTTCATTTCATTCTTCGCATTTAACGCTACATTTACCCGTAAGAATGATCTCAAATTATAGAAATTGAGGAGCTTTTGTTGAAGTGCAGGTTAATTTTTGTCGAGATAAAAATTGAGTTTATGAATCATGGATGTTTACTTCTTATTTGATTTCATTTATTCACTTGTCAAGGAGAAAGCTTGTTATTCAAGACACTTGACCTACAATTTCCTAGACAGTGCGTCATTTATAAATTATTTATTACTGCAATGTGAAGACGAAGAAAGAAAGTTAAAAAGTTAAATATATTTTGCATTAAATTCTTGATTATAAAGGTTATAATTAGAATCGAACCTAAAATTCAACTTCACTAAAACTACCATTCTGGTTTGTTACATATGAACCGTACTGTACATCATGAGTGCAGCATGAGTGCATCATGAGTGCATCATGAGTGCGTCATGAGTGCGTCATGAGTGCGCCATAAGTGCGTCACGAGTGCGTCATACCTGCGTCACAAGTGTGTCATGAGTGCGTCATAAAATTGTAGAACAAGAAATTTATGAAAATCTCCTTAATTAATCAGAAATGAAATGAAATTAATCTACAATACAGAATTGCTAAAACATTTGTTCGTCCAATATTTTTTCAGACATGTACGTTCACAGTATTAATTTAAAAACTTCGAAAGAATGGCCCGTATTAAAATTCGCAACGAAGATCGTGATTTGAGTTAGTATTACCTCGTTGAACACCATGCTCCGTTCGAAGAGTAATATTCCGGCCATCTTCTCTTCGCCAGGTGACCACTGGTTTCGGTGTCCCTGTGGCATGACATTGTAATTGCAGATCACTGTTCTCTTTAGCCGTTAGATCAGCCGAGTCGTCCAAATCCTCGATATCGGGTGGTATCACTACCTTCATGTGTCCCGTCTGTGTAAAGATCGTTACAAGCTACCATATACTATCATTTATCTTTTCGCTGGAAAAAGATCCGCCAGACCTCGTGGACCAACCTACTATTCCCATGGACATTTAAATCAAGCTTAGCACACGGATTCAAACCTCAACAAATGCGATTGCTCAGCGGAGACTTGTTTTTAATCTGGCTTTGGGCATCGAAAAAATACACAGACAGGGGCTCACTAGTTACTGTTAAGGTGAATCGTATCAAATGGCTGACTTTGGGACGTACGAAATCTGAGGTGATTTGGTGACGTGCGGGGATCATGGACTGATACTCTTGGCGTATTGGAAACGTTTTATGGGAAATTGATAGGTAAATTCTTGGTGGTGGGTAAGTGATTTCTGTGAGAGAAGTTTAGATTGTGGGATGTAGGATAGAGAGTATGATAATAGACGGGTGTAGACGGGAGGTGAGTGGAGTATATGGTGATACAACGCGTGGGGAATAGGATACGTGGTGAGTAGGGTATATGGTGACATAATGCGTGGGGAATAGAATATGTGGCGATACAACGCGTGGTGAACTCGACGCGTAGTAAACTTGACGCGTGGTGAATTCGACACGTAGCAAATTTGGTACGTGGTGAATTCGATATGTAACAAACATGCATGGTAAATTCGACGCGTAGCAAATTTGTCGCGTGGCAATACAACGCGTGGTGAATTTGGTGCGTGGTGAATTCGACGCGTAGTAAATTTGATGCGTGGTGAATTCGGCGCGTTGTAAATTCAACACGTGGCAATACAACGCGTGGTGAATTTGGTGCGTGGTGAATTCGACGCGTAGTAAATTTGATGCGTGGTGAATTCGGCGCGTTGTAAATTCAACACGTGGCAATACAATGCGTGATGAATTCGACGCGCAGTATTGTAGACGGGAGGTGAGTGGAGTATATGGTGATACAACGCGTGGGGAATAGGATACGTGGTGAGTAGGGTATATGGTGACATAATGCGTGGGGAATAGAATATGTGGCGATACAACGCGTGGTGAACTCGACGCGTAGTAAACTTGACGCGTGGTGAATTCGACACGTAGCAAATTTGGTACGTGGTGAATTCGATATGTAACAAACATGCATGGTAAATTCGACGCGTAGCAAATTTGTCGCGTGGCAATACAACGCGTGGTGAATTTGGTGCGTGGTGAATTCGACGCGTAGTAAATTTGATGCGTGGTGAATTCGGCGCGTTGTAAATTCAACACGTGGCAATACAATGCGTGGTGAATTCGGCGCGTGGTGAATTCGACGTGTAGTAAACTTGACCCGTGGTGAATTCGACACATAGCAAACTTGGCGCGTGGTGAATTCGACACGTAGCAAATTTGGTACGTGGTGAATTCGATATGTAACAAACATGCATGGTAAATTCGACGCGTAGCAAATTTGTCGCGTGGCAATACAACGCGTGGTGAATTTGGTGCGTGGTGAATTCGACGCGTAGTAAATTTGATGCGTGGTGAATTCGGCGCGTTGTAAATTCAACACGTGGCAATACAACGCGTGGTGAATTTGGTGCGTGGTGAATTCGACGCGTAGTAAATTTGATGCGTGGTGAATTCGGCGCGTTGTAAATTCAACACGTGGCAATACAACGCGTGGTGAATTTGGTGCGTGGTGAATTCGACGCGTAGTAAATTTGATGCGTGGTGAATTCGGCGCGTTGTAAATTCAACACGTGGCAATACAACGCGTGGTGAATTTGGTGCGTGGTGAATTCGACGCGTAGTAAATTTGATGCGTGGTGAATTCGGCGCGTTGTAAATTCAACATGTGGCAATATAATGCGTGGTGAATTCGGCGCGTTGTAAATGCAACACGTGGCAATACAATGCGTGGTGAATTCGGCGCGTGGCAATACAACGCATGGTGAATTCGGCGCGTGGCAATACAACGCGTGGTGAATTCGGCGCGTGGCAATACAACGCGTTGTGAATTCGGCGCGTGGCGATATAACGCGTGGTGAATTCAGCGCGTAGTAAATTTGTTACGTGGTGAATTCGACACATAGTAAATTTGACGCGTGGTGAATTCGGCGGGTAATAAATTTAACGCGTGGAGAACTCGATACGTACTTAATTTGACGCGTGGCGGTATAACGCGTGGTGAATTCGACGCGTAGTAAATTTGACACATGGCAATCCAACGCGTGATATATTCGGCACATGGTGAACTTGACGCGTGGTGACCTCGGTTCTCACTAAATTTCGCACGTGATAATAAAAAGCGCATTGAAGTCGTTGAGTAGTAAATTCGGTAATTGGCAATATAACTCGCAAAAAACAAAATTTAAAGTGAATGTCACGCGGAATGAATTCATTGCGCCTAAAATACGACACGTAATTCGGCACTTGGCAATACAACGCGTAGGAAATGAAACTTGTGGGGAATGGAGCACGTAAATTTGTTTTGTTGCGTGGCAAATTTGACGCGTAGTAAATTTGTTGCGTGGCAAATATGACGCACAGTAAATTTGTTGCGTGGAAAATTTGACGATACGTTTCGAATAAAATGTGGCACCTGACGATATAACGCGTGATAGCGTAGTCTAACGAGTTGCAATCTAACGTGTAACTATCTAACGAGTAGCAATCTAACGTGTGGCTATCTAACGAGAAGCAATCTAACGTGTAGCTATCTAACACATGTCCACATACGAAGAATAGTAAACCACTTTAACTCTCATTTTGCACACTTGTCTCACCAAATCACGTCTCACAGTCCAAACACGTCCATTTGATACAACAATCGTAACATTATCGAACACAAAATAACACGTCATTTTATTGTACGTACATTTTTTTATTTTAAGAGGGAGAATAGATTTTCCATGCTTTCACACGCCCTTTAGTGAAATTTTGTCGATGTTATCTTGCCTCGATAGCAATATTTTTGACGCGTCATACGTTTAAATCCAGTCGGTAATGCACAACAACCCGTTACCTATTAACTCACGCCGTTTCGTTTGCATTGTATTGCCGTTTAATATCGAAACGTTTAACGCGAAAGATAAAATTGCTCCATAGTGGCAACGAATGAGAGTCGCGAAAAAATTGGTCGATTGCAAAAATCGAAGCACTCTGTTATAAAATACACTGCAGTCGATTAATACATAGCTTTCGTAATTTACAGCGATCAAATATTTATTACACCGTCAATTTATTTATTTCCGAGAGGTAATTGCAAAATTTAAACATTTGAAACTTCATCAAACATTTCGTTGAAATAATCAAAATTTAACGTGAATTAACCATAGTAATTACTTATAAGTTTCGAACATATTTTTAATAAAACATGTCAGCCTGAAAATATTTTTAGGCTACTTTAAGAGCCGTCACTTTTGAGAACAAACATTTTTACTTTTATTTTGAATATATAATTTATAGCAAACATTTTGTTCAGCTGATTTTACCTCTACGTCATACAGCAATGACATACACATTTTTAAATTAAATATAAATTGAAGAGTTAGATATGAACTAAAAATGTTACATGTTACATTCTATGTATTGAATATAGTTGACATTCTGAAATAAAGATGGCTCATATTGGACCACTTAATTCGCTAATTGAGAGGGTAGATACTTATACAACTAAGAGTGCGTAATTACTTGGAGTTGACATGGAAAATCATATTATAGAACGTGTTTAAGTTGACGAAGACCGTACCAACCTGACTCCTCATAGGATCCGTATTAACTTGACACATGTACGTGCCAGAGTCGTTCGGTTGAACGTTGGTCACGTGCAGTTTCCACGTGTTATGTCCGTTATGAGTGACAGACAGCCGTGGGTTATGAGCGACCATGTGTGTATGAATGGCCAGAATAGCTTTGGAGTCCGACTTTATCCAGGCAACCTGCATAATACAATCACGAACATGAACGTTTCGCCATTTCAGCAACTGATTATAAACCGCGACTCGGACACGTCTCTCTGTATTACTTACACCGTACGTTTATAATACATGTTTTAGAATTAGTTCGTTACGAATGATGTTTCGTATTCTGTCCGGAATATGCTACTGCTTTAGCGGGAGTATTAGGACAATTACATGACTTGTGTTCGCTCGAACGTTTCAAATTTAGATGCGGGTTTATGTATTCTGGAAATTGTTTTTGGATGGGTGCAAAATATTGTTGCATTTCTATATTAAGGTCGGGATGAAGTTTGTGCAATTTTCGGAATTTTTACGGTTTTTGAGTTTTTTAAATTTTAACAGTTTTAATTTTAATTCACAAATTTTTAAATTCCACAAGTTTTCTATTTTACAAATTCTAGTTTTTCCAAATTCCAGTTTCCCCAAATTTCAAATCCCCCAAATTCCAAATCTCCTAAATTCCAATTTCCTCAAATTTCAAATTCCCCTAGTTCCAATTTCCCCAAATACCAAATGACACTAGTTCCAATTCCCCTAGTTCCAAATTTCCCCAAATTCCAAATACCCCCCGTTCCAATTTTGCCAAATTTCAAATTGGCCCAGTTTCAATTTCCTCAAATTCCAAATTCCCCTAGTTCCAATTTCCCCAAATACCAAATGACACTAGTTCCAATTTCCACAAATTCCAAATTCCCTTGGTTCCAAATTCCCCTAGTTCCAATTTTCCCAAATACCAAATTACACTAGTTCCAATTTCCCTAGTTCCAATTTCCCTAGTTCCAATTTCCCTAGTTCCAATTTCCCTAGTTCCAATTTCCCTAGTTCCAATTTCCACAAATTCCAAATTCCCTTGGTTCCAATTTCCCCTAGTTTTAATTTCCTCAAATTCCAATTTTCCCAAATTCCAAATTCCCCTAGTCCCAATTTTCTCAAATACCAAATTCCCCTAGTTCCAATTTCTCTAAATTTCAAGTTCCCCTAGTTCCAATTTCCCCAAATTCCAAATTTCCTAAATTTCAAATTTCCCTAGTTCCAATTTCTCTAAACTAAAATTCCCTTAGTTACAATTACCTCAAATTTTAAATTCCTCTAGTTCCAATTTCCCCAAATTTCAAATTCCACTAGTTCCAATTTTTCCAAAGTCCAAATCCTTCAATCTTCAAATTGCCCTAGTTCGAATTTACCCGAATTCCAAATCCCCCAAACTTCAAATTCCCCTACTTTCAATTTTTCCCAAATTCCCCAAGTTCTAACTTTATTGCCGCCATTACAAAAATATAACTCGAGGCCATATAACCTGTTAAACCATCAATTCACCCTCTAACACATACAAATTGAAACAACCCAAAGATACACCAGCTCAACTTGCAAGTTATTGAATAATAAATAAAAAAGATACGTTTAACACTAGATTTACGGACGTTTGATGGTCACTTTTACTTAAATTTACCTAAAGTAGAAAAATAAATAAATTGCAGATGATATGTGAACTGCGTAAAACATTGAATCTTTTGCTGAAAGTTGATGAAAGTTGACATTTTTGCAAAAATTTCTTAACAAATTCTGTCATCTAAAATGGACCTATTATCCGTTATTTTGACGGATTCCGTAAATGCAGTGTTAAAAATGTGTAAATAACAAAGTGTCTCTATTACGGTCACTTACAAGATCAACCAAGTCCACAAATGGCAAAGGGCACAATAAGAATAATACACTTGCAGGTTCGAATGTACCGAGACCGATCGTCTTGATCGTTGAAGTTCGTGCTTTAGTATCTATTGAACGCTTCTAGTACCTTGGTTACTTTCCTGATTAGCTAGCAGTTAAACCTTCCCTGAGGAACACCTCCATCCGGTTAAGGCACCCTTCTTATTACACTCTTCCTCTTCGGGTTTCCCTCAGGCCGTACGGTCGTTACCGGATATGAATAATAAATCTCGAAAGAAACGTTCCGTTCGATGAAATTTTCACCTTTAAGGCGCGAACTTCCGACAAATTGAATATTTAACTCTTACCGTCTCTTTTTTGCCGCGGATATTACTCGTGTACGGATTAACCGTTAGCCCAGATTAGGATCTGTTTAAGATGGTGCGATTCGTTGCCTGATTTATCCTTAACTATTTCACAGAATATAAAATTTTGAACTTCTAAAATTCTCTAAAACCATGAAGTTCTGACATTTGTAGCTTTTGATGTTTTAATGTAGCAAGTTTTTAATGTTACAAAATTTGAAATTCTAATTTGAAGTCCAAAAATATGACACAAGTTGTAGAATTTTGTTGCTTTAGATTTTGAAATTTCTGAGAAGATTTGTTTTGAAAAAATTAAGTTTGTTCCAAAGTGAAAAATTTTAAAAGTTTTGTGGTTCCAAAGTTATAAAATTCTGATACTTTAAATTCTCAAATACCAAAATTTCAAAGTCACAAACTTCCTAACTTGTAAGGTTCTAAAATTACGAACTGCTGATATTCCAAAACCCCAAAGTCCCAAAACTTTAATGTCTCAAAACCCCAAAGTCTCAAAACTTTAATGTCTCAAAACCCCAAAATTCAAAAGTAATAGTGTCACAATCTCCCAAAATCCCAAAACTAGAAATCTCTCAAAACTCCAAAGTCCCCAAATTTACAAAACACCAGTTAAAAAAAATTAACAATTTATCTTCCATTTTATGTTTTCCCTTAATCTGCAAATACAGAAGTCCTATAAGTGTGTGGGTTCTCCACAAGCATTAATACGCTGCTGCATGTATTAAAGAGGAATGTATGATACATTACGAACGCGAGTCTAATATAAACACTGAATTAATTACGCGTACGTATTATGTGCCTTAAACGATTGCACGAGATTTCTTTTCAACGTGATTTTTCTCTCGTGCGTTCATGAATTTCACAGTAAATGCAACTGTTAAATCTCGGAATGTAAATGTTATTCCGTAACAGCAGAAACAAATGGAGGCAAGAACGGATTCAGGTTACGGTGCATGTAATTTTGTTGTCTTCTTGCTTGAAACGAAATATGTTTCGTCGAAGATAACGGAAAATAGACTATCATTATTTCGGAATAAAAGGGGAAGAAAAGGTAATGTAATGTTACAATTTGTAAGATAAAAGGTATACGGAGTTTTCTTATTTAAGTGAGCTTCGATTGTGGCGGGAATATTTGGACGCCATTTTGAAGACATTGACTTAATTACGCGGTCACAGTAGAACTTCAGTTTAGTTAATAATAATTATAAGATTTATGACTGTGATTTATTTTAATTATAAATCTCAAATGTGAAGATAAGTAATGTAATGTAATGTTACAATTTGTAAGATAAAAGGATTACAGAGTTTTCTTATTTAATTGAGCTTCGATTGTGGCGGGAATATTTGGACGCCATTTTGAAGACTTACATGATTATGCAGTCACAGTAGAACTTCATTTTAGATAATGATAATTATAAGATTTATGGCTGTGATTTATTTTAATTGTAAATTCCAAATGTGAAGATATTTGTTTTTTCTTGAAACTGTTATGTTTTGATTAAAATTATTGTGTTACGATACTCAAGAATAAAATTGTTTTAAAAACAGTGAGCATTTTTAAAACAATGTGGGCATGTTAGGCATTTACCTAAACTAATTTAATGTGTAATATGAACTGAATTGTGTAGGGTTTCTATTGAAACGTTTACTAATTATAATTACCAATTTAACAACATAGAGTATTCGATTACACTGTAATTCATAATTCGAATTTCTCATTCAATCAAATAACAATGCACTTCGCAATTACAATCGAGGTACAATTGCACAGTACACTGTAATCAGATCAGAATTACTAATCAACAGGTAACCAAACTGAACGGGAACAAAAGACGAAGGAACCATGTTAGTAATTGTTAAATAATATCTACAAAATAATAATATGATATTTGCATACAAAATAATATCTACCCAAAAATAAACAAAAATTCACTTACACTCAAAATCACCTACTGAATTATTTCAAGAGTGAAACTTGTATAATACATAATTAAATTAATTAAAAAGTTTGATTACGTAATTCTAAATAAATACCTATTAAGAAGTTTGATAACAATTCAAAATTAGCAACGGTAATTAAAAAGACAGAGTACAATCCAAATTGCAACACAGTTAAACTACGTAAGATAATTAAATTACAACGTAATTCAATTAGAACAATGTACGTAAATTTAACGTGGAACATAAGCACTTTGTTGTACAATTACATGGTGATAAGAAAGAGGTATTTTCAAGGAGGGTGCGATAGGAGGTGCCAGGTTGCAGGTAATGCTCCTTATGATAAAAAGCGTCCGTGACGGACGCTCATTACGTTAAATGTGAACATTCGTTTGTAGGTTGGTACCTGAAACGTAATTGTTTACTTGAGAATCGTGGCACAAGTCAATGAACACTGTTATTGGATTCCAGGATTCAAATTCCAATCGGGTTTGTGCTTTACCACCTCCCTCCTGGCTCGGTCTCGTTTGTACGAACATACTTCCTGCCCGCTCGATCTGTCGTATTTCAAACGACGGTTCTATTGAACCGGTGAAAGGGCTTTTAAATCACGAACAAAAGCGGGGTTTTTGATCCAACGGCAATGGAATTTAAGGTGTGCATAAATAACGCTGATGGACTGCTCGCCGCTTCAGTCGTCAGAATCATTCTGCATACCTGTTGGCGGAATAATCTTTGGGCAAACAATCAGACTCGAATCGAGCACCACGGGTGTCCCGGCATCTGTTATATCTCTCACGTTAGATGACATTGAATCGACGCGTCTATGTGAATTGTTCCGCGCGAACACCGATCGATTTTGCGAAACGTTTAAAACGATTACCGTCGAGGAAATTTCGCGAAATCTTGGTCCGCCACCGTGAAATTCCTCCGCGAATATGACGCGAGCATAATGGAGTCTTGGCACCCAGGAAAACCTTCAGCATTCTCTTAGTTTGTTGGGTTTAAATCGTTCAGTGTCATGCTTCGGGAAAACTATTTTGACAAATTAATGGGACAAATCAGATGAAAATTCTTTAGGATAAGTATTTGCGACAAGACGGTAGTGTGACGTTTGAATTAAGACTTGTGGGGAAAATGTCTTAGGAGGTTCTACTGGTGGTTCGTAAACAAAGAAATTATTTTAAAAAATATGACAAATCAGGTACTAATTACTTAGGAATATAGAAAATGAACATTTAAGACAAAGTAACAGTAAAGTAATAGATCTAGTTATAGAAAGTCTGAATGAGCAAATTCTTAAGTTCGAGGTCCTACAATTCTGGTTCAATTTAAGTCTGAATATACCGTTGTAATATCTATAAATCCAATGCCCTAGATTTTCAGAGGCCATTATTCCAAAGTTCTAATATTTTAAAGATTCGATATCCCAAAATCCTGTTATCCTGAAATCCTATTAACCCAAATTTCCAATATCCCAAAGTCATAATATCGAAGTCCCAATACTCCAAATACTCAGTATCCCAAAATCCACTACTCCAAACTTCCAATATCCCATAATCCCAACTCCCAGAGTCCCAAAACAGCATCAAAATTCCACCCTAAATTAAAAAATTCCAAAAACCTTATTTCCATCATCAAAAACTGCAAAAATAAAAGTAAAACTTGAATCATCCTAGTTGAACCAACAAGCAAGATCTAACAAAACAAAATTTTAACACTACATCAAAAAATTATGAAAATTTATTTCAGTCCTAAAATTGTTCCCTGTAAAATTCCCAGTAGACCTGCAACCACCCCTAAAAAAATCCAAATGCTAAACAGCGGAGAAAGATCATAAGATTCGTAAGAAGACAGAAGGATGGAATGGTAAAATCAGGCCCATTCATGCTACACGTTATATTAGCGTCTCTGATTTATGTCCCTTCTTTCGGACTTCCTTTCTTTCCCCCGGATATTCCCTTGCTCGGTGTAACATTCGGTTCGCCATGCTTCCACTTTTCCCACTTCTTCATCTACCACTACCACCACTACTTCTTCTTCTTCTGTCACTTCTACGTACTCCTTCTCCATCCTTTGAATCCACCAGGACGAAATCCTCTGAACACGCGCCAAGAACGTTTCATCTCGCGATAGAAGCGATTGTCGATTCGAGCGCGCAATCAAACTTGGACTTCTTCTCGAAAGTGAATTACTCGGCAGGTCTGTCCCACAAGGAGTTCTGGACAGAAACTGGGTGTGAACCGATGAAAGTGCACACGTATGTACTTTCATAATCGACATGCCACGTCTGTTTCACCGTATCCTCTTTTTAATAATTTTATTAAACCCAGGGACATTATCCGTTATCGATATATCCTGTTGTATATTGAATTCGTATTAATATATTGCACAAAGGGCGTTGCCCATGCAATAATTAAATAAATAAACACTGCGAGGGATGCATGTTTTATATATCCAATTAACCTTCTCTCTGTTTATAAATATTTTAGCGTTAAATGTTTATAGAAGTGTAATTGCGTTCTGTACATTTTCAATGCGATCTACTGAACCTTGTGTATTTATGAAATTTAATTGATGTTTATGAAGATAAAAAAATTAGCGGATTTATTTCAGTTTGGGGTTGCATCCCTTGTTAGTGGATCTTGTGAGTTCCGAACACAATTCAGCAAGTTGTGATTGTTTCTATAACCGATTACTATAAGCATATGTTATTATAATCATAAAACGATCATATTAGATTTTAGTAAACGAAAAAATTGTACGAAAGCAATTTTACTGAATCATGAATTATGGGCTACAGTTCAATTACAATCGAAGATGTTATTCCGTGATTAATGATTATTGAAGTAATTATGTTCTTGGTTATGACAGCATCGATTACTCTCCTTATTAATTAACCACGGTTGCCACTCATTAATTGTCCAAATATCCAGTGTAGACAATTAAAAATTACAAGCTAGAATATCTCTCAAATTGTCAGAGCTAAAGAAAAATTGTACGTGCCTAGGAATCAGAAATATGCATTTTAACGAACTAATTCTTGTGTTTCTTTTTTCCGTTATGACGAATATAATCAAAAGGGATTACCGTGAATTGTTGCACGGGACGTTTTGCTGTGTAAAAAATTGTGTGTAGGGTGCCGCATGTGCTACATGGATTATTTTCTTTTTTTCCGTGCAAAATCAATACTTGATAATTGTTGCGATAGTTTTGTTAACCTCGTTACTTTGTGTAACCTCGTTATTTCGTTAACCTTGTTATTTCGTAACCTTTGTTGCAGTTTGGCAAAATATTTTTTGAACTTTCGTAAGTTATGATCTTTTAGTTTGTTTATTGGAAAATTATATAATACCGCAACTTTGAAATATTTTAATTTTGGTTGTAAAATTTGCAATTTATTTCGGACATCTCTTTAAATTTTTAGATTTTCAAATTCTCTAATTCTTAACATGTTTTTGTCAGTATATTAACAATATTCCTGTATCAATATGTTTATCAAAACACGAAAATATGTATCTGAATGTTTTGATACTCTGAAAACATATTGATCGTCAGAGACCGTAGCAAAACAAGAAATTCCCCACATGCAACAAAGTGCAGGTGTTAATGATCTGTTGCAACAATATTAACTATATTTAGGAAAATACGATTCCGGTCGACTACTTACGATTTCCGAAGCGTTGCCCTTAATCGACTTACTAATTACGGCAACACGTAGATGCAATTACCTTGTAAGATTGAAGATGATTAACGACGCAGGTGAAGGAGACGTCACGACCTTGAGTGACCGTATGGTTCTCCAGAGGTGCTAGAAATTCGGGCTGGACCTCGGACTTTGGCATCGCTTGACCTATGCCAGTGTAATTAACGATTCCACGATTAATGATCCGGCAACTTCGTATTTAATTAGTTTAACCTCTATTTCCTCTAAAAACACGAATCCACAACTCGCCGGAAAAAGACATACGTTTTCATTTCACCCATATTCGTCTATATTGATTTATTCGGTTATTTATTATCGTTTTTTATTTCCCTTATTTTTTAATCTTTACATCTCTCTTAACGCGTAGGTTAATCTAGTCGCTAGTAGCGCGTGTTGCTTTATAGAGATTCATGGTAACTGTTCGCGAGCAAAGTTATGGGGTAATATTTCTTTTTTCCCCTGTCAGCCGTTCAGATTCGTTTCTGTTCCTCGTTGATGCGCTTTTTGTCGCGCGGCACGTGGACCCCGGGGTGGAAAAAAGAGGAAAGAAAAAGAGCTCTCCCGTAACCAGGGTGTTTATTAACCGTATCACCATGAGCGACGCGGAATACGGCGCCTTATTAACCATTCTGACCCAAAGCTTTATACGGTTAACAGAAATCTTGTTATGCACGTATAAATTAACTTAAACAATTATAAATTTTTATCCACTTTTTTACTATTACTTTAATCATTATTTATTACATTTGAATATATATATATTACATTTGAACACTTCAATATAGCATAGACATTTTTTGTGGATCAAATAAAATATAACAAAAATAAAATAACGAATATAATACAAATAGAGGATAACAATTTATATCACTTAAATAAATATAAAAATAAACAATTTGGAATAATAAATTGTTTCAATTAATGTATTTATAAAAGAACTTATTTTGTGTGATTCATATTTTATTTAAATTTTAAACCATTTGATACGAGAAGTTATAATCAGCTTTTATAAAAATACGTTTTGACCATAAAGCGTTCATATTTAATAAGAAATTTGAATTTGACGTATGCATAAAATAAGATTTTTCATAAATGTTTATTTTTGACACTGACTTTTCACAGAGCGATATCGGGTCAGAATGGTTAAATAACCGTAATCGTATATGCAGAAAAAAAAGAAGTTAGAATGTAATCGAGAGAAACATTATACCATTTTGTTGCACGTACGAGAAGAGAAAGAAATTGGATATCAAATATATTTCGAGAGAAAAAGTCGGTTGTAATGTTTAGCCGTGTACGCTGTTGTAATTTCTGGCCTGGTAGCTGCACGCGGGAATGCTTTTACGGAAGCTGGATACTTCCGATAGTGCTTTCAGGGGCGTTTTATTTGATTCTTCCCGAAAAGTGGAGCAAAGAAACGTGGCGTGGAGAGAAAAGGTGTACTGGGCACGATGCTATTACGGATACAACGGGTGAGATTCATTCCTATCATTTTGTAGGGATTAAAAAACTTGTAACTTTTATCCGTCCGTGTTCCGAACGATTCAAACTTGTTTCACTTGCATCCACTTCTCGATCGAGTTGAAGGGTCCTTGGGAGACGGCAATATCTCATTTGATTTCTTACCAAAACTCGAATACAGGAAGGCGCCGAGGAAGAAGCACAGAACGATGTCCCACGATGCCATACCACAGAACAAGCCATACGCCATACGTACTGTAACAGAATTTTTAATATTGTTTTTTAATTATATTCTATTTAGATTCACTCTATTTATAATTTATTATACTATTTACAATTACTATACTTGGAATTATTTTCACTAGTTAGAATCCTATATTTAGGATTACTGTATTCAGAATTATTTGTACTATTTATAATTCTATACTTTGGATTACTATATTTAGGATTGTTCTATTTTTAGAGTTACTCCATTTACAATTACTATATTTAGAATTGTTCTATTTTTAGTATTACTCTATTTTGAAATTACTTACATTATTGAGAATTCTATATTCAGAATTACTATTTTTAGTGATACTACGTTTAGAATTACTTTATTCAGGATTATTTATACCATTTATAATTCTATATTTATGATTACTATGTTTAGAATTGTTCTGTTTTTAGAATTACTCTATTTAGAATTACTCACATTATTTAGAATTCTATATTCAGAATTAATATTTTTAGTGTTGCTATGTTTAGAATTATTGTGTTTAGAATTACTACGTTTAGAATTACTCTATTCAGAATTATTTATACTATTTATAATTCTATAATTAGGATTACTATATTTAGAATTGTTCTGTTTTTAGAATTACTCTATTTAGAATTCTATATTCAGAATTAATATTTTTAGTGTTGCTATGTTTAGAATTATTGTGTTTAGAATTACTACATGTAGAGGTACTCTATTCAGAATTATTTATACTATTTACAATTCTATAATTAGGATTACTATATTTAGAATTGTTCGGTTTTTAGAGTTACTCTATTTAGAATTACTTACACTATTTAGAATTCTATATTCAGAATTAATATTTTTAGTGTTGCTATGTTTAGAATTATAGTGTTTAGAATTACATTTAGAATAACTCTATTTATTATTACTTATTCTAGTTAGAATCATTCTATCCAGAATTATTTATATCATCTAGCAATTCTTATTTAGAGTCAAATAAAAATTCTTTATTAATATGTACTCTATTTAATATTAGTTACTCTAGTTAGAATCATTATATGTGCAATTATGTACAGCACTTAGCAATTCTTATTTAGAGTCACATAAAAATTCTTTATTAATGTTTATTCTATTTAGTATTACATACTGCAGTTACATTTATTATATGTACAATTATGTACAGCACTTAGCAATTCTTATTTAGAGTCACATAAAAATTCTTTATTAATGTTTATTCTATTTAGTAATTTCTATTTATTAATGTTTATTCTGTTTCATTATATGTACAATTGTTTGTATCATCTAGCAATTCTTATTTAGAGTCACATAAAAATTCTTCATTAATATTTTACTCTATTCAGGATTGTCCTATTTAGAATCCTATTTTTCATTCCTTTTGTAAATAACTGAACAGTTGCTGCAACGTGTACATTTTTATACGTAACTTTTACGCCACCGTATTTTACCTTTTGCTTTATTCAAACAGGGCTGTATTTACCATAAAGCGCATTAGACGCAGGCTGGGATTTCTCGCTTTATACTCTATGGGTTACATTTTACCTAACGTCTTCTGTATAAAAACATAAGAAAGTATTACAAAATGAGATACCTATTTTTAAATATAAAAAACTATTACAATTTACAAGTTAATATTTCATACATTTAAATAAAGTTTATCATTTAACACCTTTCAAAGGTGTTTAACAGAAGATAGAACACCATGAAATCTTTAAAGCCGTCTTTCTCGAGAACATTCAAGGCGAGCACACAATATTTGCACAGTAATCGAAACACAGCATCATATTTCGACGAAATCTTGAAGATGTTCGAGTAAAATTTGTGTTCGTAATAAAAGAGGAGAAATGTGTAATATCATGATCTGTCGAAGTGCAAAAGCTCATTAAAGTGAAGGGGATGAGAGTGGAGCTTTGTCAGAAGGTAAAGAGAGAGCAGGAGGTCAAGAGTTTCGCGACGTCTTCTACGGAAACGGGCACGGAGAAGGGGTCAAACCCGAATCACGTGAATATTAACTCGACAGTTGGTCGCCACATAAACGCCAACCGTTGATATATCCCATCCTCACCCTCGTGCAGCCAGCACCGCAATAATACTCGAATAGTGGGTGCCTCCTGCCTCTGCTCTTCCCTTTTCAGTTTCAACCCTCCGCCGAGTATTCTCACCGACACCCCACCTCAACCGAACTCATGCGATACGCACACTCACGAATCACACCACGACACACCTGCACTAGCCTAAACGTTTCCATCTATGTATCCTATGTATGCACGTGTATATGTACACGGCCAGTCGTCAAATGAAAATTTCACTCGGTCCGAAGTCTGCCCTTTATGACTTCGAGCCACGTTCTCTTTGCGTTGCCGAAAATTGCGCTGCAACTGACGCATTTAAGTTAAATAACCCCCTCAGACATCGCGAAGGGACGAAACTCCGAGTTACAGCATTTCGTGTTTACCGATCGATGATTATTTTGTTGCTGATGAAACTGGGTCGTGAGAGAATTCATTTTGCTGGTGTATGAGAAAAAGGATTGTTAAGGTAAACAAAATGGCGGTACAGGAGACACTGTTAGTAGAGTAATGTTTAATTCTTACTGATTTTAAATTAATCAAAAGTCTTTGGAATTTTGATATATTGAGCACCTCAGGGTTTCGAAGTTATACGCAAATGATACACTTTATTTAAATCCGTTTAATTATATGAAAATATACGTATCTCTCGACGGAGATAGAAATGTAGATTCATAAGTTCATAAATTCCATCCCCGTGGCAAGATATTAAAAAGCCGCGCACGAATCGATTAAAATCGTTTGAAATGCTAAAAACAATTTATATTCGCGTATGATAAACAGGGTGTAGGCCGATGACAGTGACGGATTCGCATCGTGTGTCGGACGAGACCGTACAAAATGAAAGTGCACGGCCAGCTACGAAGTTATATAAACCTTTAAAAATTTGCCCGTGCCTCTCTCTCGTGTGTACGTGTATCGCGTTGTAGGAAAATTACCACACCATCTACGCTGTGAACCACGACGCCCGACATGCATACATATTCGCGTTAAACAGTCCCGCGAAAAGTGCATCGCGTTTCACTGGAACTCCCGCTTTTTAGCCGAATATACGGGACAGTCGAGTGGTGGCCATCAGAGCCGGTAGCCACCTTTTTATTACCTCTTCTTTTTTTTTCGTTGTTTTTACAATATTTACAGAAGGGCAACGTCGTAACGGCGACAAGGTACGGGGAAAAAGCTTTTAGCGATTACACTTTCGCGCAGCGAATCCGAGAAAGGAAATTGTTGCGGGAAATATTTCGCGTGGACCGAGGGCTGTAATTTGTGACGTTACCACGGTTTCGCGGATGGAAAGAAAGAAAAGAAAGGGAACTGTTTAGGCTACAAAGTGGTACAATTAATCCTAGTGGAAATTGCAACAGCTGACCCGTTGGTAAATACACGTTTCATCGTCATGCAGGTGGTTACACTATTGTGTCTACGTTTGATTAAATATCGTTGCCAATCGATCTGTTTTCTAATTAGTTTACTCGGATCTTTTTGCAATTTTTTAGCATTTTATGCATTTTTACAGAATAATTACAGATTCGCACTCGAACCAAGGAACGAAAATTTCGAGTGTTCGAATCCTGTAGTTAACATTTTTTTATTTTGTTCCTACATTTCTTATGTAGGTTTATGAAGCATTGTTATTGCAAACAAAATACATTTATGTAAATACAAAATCACTTTTTAATTTATTAAAGTAACGTTGTTTTAATAAACTTGTTTAACAGTTATTTTAATATCCTTGTAAATAATTCGAGTTCTACAAAACGCTGAGACATGGCTGACCTAACCTAAACTCTTTAGGACAAATTTGCAGTCCTTCTCCTTATAAAAAATCTTTACAACAGAAAATTAACAATTCACCTTGTTTAAATTAACAATTTAAATAAAAACATCTGTACACATAAAACTTCATAAAACACTGTATATGAGAAAATACATAAAGTCGTACATGTTTAATTGATATCCTAAATACAAAATGTCTGCTTGACCGATTTAAAAATTCCAGCGCTTGAAAACATTTCAAATGCACTGTCAAGTATAATATTTATATAAAATTTAAAATTTGCAGAAAATGAAGTTTCGATTAATATTTTGAATATAAAATGACTAATTAAAGAATATAAAATGAATCGATTAATGAATAAGGTAGCCTGCAGCAAACTTCGAGGATCAAATTAATGTAGCATTGTTATTTCACAATACCAGCATGTCATCGAATCATGTCAAAGTTTGGACAGCTTCGAAATCAAGCGATTTAATATGTATATCAACCTAATAATATAATCGCGTTTCATACGGTAATTAACTATTATTCGAGGAAGAATTTCTAAACTTCCTGCCGGCATTGTGATCAATGTGTAAACGCGGATATTTTGAACGGTACCATTTATCAGGAACGTGAATATAATTAAACAGCAAAACAGGGTATCGCACGATCTTTTGAATATCCGTCATTAACTGTACTATAGCAAATTAAACATCGAAACACCAATTTCCGCGGCGAGCATACATTTGCACGTCTATCCAAAGTGTATGCACAGAGTATTATAAACGCGTGCAACGAGAATTGCATGCTGTATTACCGAGAGAATAACAGACAACGAGTACCTTGTCTCTCCCTCGCTCTCTCTGTCGTTCTCTCTCGTTCGCTCTCAGCCCCTAAGAGGCATCCAATGAGCCGTTCTGTTGGTCACTTCTGACACGAAGGAAACTGGACATGGTTTGAGTACCAAAAGCGTCTTTGATTCAGCATAAACTCGGCTCGTCTGAATATCGTGTAAAATGAACTCTCCATGAATAATTACCGGCCGCTTACCGATATTTCGCTGCACTCGACGTGGAACTACATGAACGGAATATACGAAACACATATTCCTGCTCCAAAAGTTGCTCGGTTTAATGCGCTGAAATTTTCTGATCATTTTCGGTAATTCTACGAAATATTCAGATAG